AAGGTTCGTCAATCGAGAATCCAGGCGTCCGACCAGTTTTTTAACAGGGAAACAGATTTGAAAGCTGGTATTTTAGAGAATATTCTGTGATACACTAAGATTTGTTTAAAAATTGAGTTAAAGTATTTGTTTAAATTTTTCTTTTGGTGGGAATTTTGTTTATATTTTTCTATGTTAAAATATTTAATAGAGTATGTTTTTTTTTTTTTTTTTTATTGGCAAGTACAGAAATAAATTATAAATTAGTGAGCGGGATAAACAATTGTATTTATAATAATAATTGTATTAATTTGAATGGAATATAATTTTAGAATTTGGCGTTTTTTGTTGGTTACATTTATGTTGGATATAAATATTGAAATAAAAGTTATATAGTAATTTGATTATATAGATGAAAGTGTTCTGTATCCTTGAATATTAAGATAGAATTGACTGTCGATAGCTCGTCAAAAATCGAGAATCCAGGCGAACGACCAGGTTTTTATCAGGAAAACAGATTTAGGGGTTAGTCTTTTAATGGGCAAATATTCTACTCTAACTAGAACCACGTGACGCGACGTCCTTGCAGGATCAGGTTCGCAGTTGTTTGAACAGCTGGCACTCGTATTATTGCCAAAAACTTGCTGTTATCTATATTTATATATATTTTTTAATTACTATTCTCTGCCCTTTTTTTTTAATAAGCTGTAATAATTTGAATTGATTTTTACAATTAATAATTTATTTAATTATTTTAAAAATTATTATAATGTATCCTTGAAACAATTTTTAAAAAATTTTAATTAAATAATATTTATTTATTGAAAAATATATAATACAAGAATACACTGAAAAAAGGGTTTGGTATTGATAACCAAACGTTTAGTTGCGGTATTTAAGCAACCAAAAATTTTTTGTTGAATCAACAAAATTTTAATTGTCTCAACCAAAATTTGTTTGACACAACCAAAATTAAAAAACGATTTTTGTTGTCCTAACTAAAGTTTAATTGGATCAACCAAAATTTTGTTGATTCAACAAAAAAAATTTTGGTTGCTTAAATACCAACCAAACGTTTGGTTGTCAATACCAAACCCTTTTTTCAGTGTAAGTAAAAAAATATTCAGCTGTTTTGTATAGAGAAAAAATATTGTATTTGTCGCTCAGAGTTAAATAAATAAATTATTTGTTGGAAATAAATTTTATTTGATAAAAATGAAAAATTTATTTGAGTTTAAAAAAGTTTTATTTGATACAAATAATAATAGTCGTTTTAGTTCTATATATGGCATAAATATATTTTTAATTGATTCAAATAATTTGGGGATTGAATTAAAATTTTCTCTATCACTGAAAAGAAATTTGATTTAAATATTGATAATTTTATCATTGTCAAATAAATATTTAATTTGTATCAAATAATTATTGTTTGGGTGAATTAATTTGTATTTGTTTCAAATGCAAAAATAATTGATAATTTATTTATAATTCAATTTTTTGATAAAATTATTATTTATAAAAATTAATGAAAAAGAAATTGTTTCGAATATTAAAGAAATAATAGATGAGGGTATAAGAAAATTAAATTTTTTTTCTACAAAAAGAGAAAATTGCAATTCTTGCATCGCATGTGTGTGTAGAAGAGAAGAACAATTAGTCGCGAAAGAAAAATTGTGATAACATATATACACGTTATTTATTGATCATATATGTGTTCGCCACATAAAAGCCTAGTTCAACTGAAATATAGTCCAATATTTCGATTAGCTGCGCATCGAATGCATTGATACGAGAAGTTGGTGACTCCTATATCAGTATGTACTCCTGGCATTTCGAGATGCGCTCTATCTTCCGAATGGCGTCGAATGGTAAAAAAAATTCAGGAAAATGCCAAGACAGCTGACCACGAAGAGGCATTGCTAAACGTCGTCAATATATAGGGAAGAGAAGACCGAGACACGTTTCTCTGTCCTTTTGCTGACCTGTAAAAAATGCCATGCCCCCTTGGCACGCCTCTTGGCATAATGGGGCGCCATAAACGCGCGCTGGTGGTGCACCTGTTGGTTATTATTCCGCGTGTTCGTTAGAGAGATTAAAAAAAAAAGAAGAAAAAAAAAGAGTGCGATACGAAAAAAAAAAAAATGTCGCCTCTGACAGCGACGGGTATAATAATGGCGTAGGCGCGTATCTGTCTGATGGTTGCGAGTGTATATTATATATAAACTCGATATGTGTCACTAATACCTATGCGCACAAGCAATGCACACATTTTATGGATTCAATATATACAGCATCCCACCATCTATGTATATATGCGGTCCATATGAAGATGCGCGCGACTGCGCGAAAAGATTCTCGCGGGAGAAGCATCACGGAAAAATGAGAGATTTTTCGAGGCTATTTCTGTAGTCCTGATGCGTGCGTGGTTGAAGCATTCTTTCGATAAAACATATAGGAAATATTAAAAGATTCAATTGAAATACTGCTACTCTATTTGGAATAATGTTTTTGAATTATATATTGATAGAGAAATACGATAACGTATAATAATTGCATACTGCGCTCTATTTCATAAATATATATATATATATATACAAAAGAAAAAATTTTTACAGTCAAAGAAAATCTTTTTTTCAAATAAATTTTAGGACGCATGATTATGTTCTAAAAATCATTAGTCATAATTTACATTTTATCGAATTTTATTTGTCCTAATTAGTTTTGAGCTGAATTTTTATTTGTTCGAAATAGCATTTTGCATATAATTTACATCAAAGCGATTTTCTATATTACAGAATTTTTATATAACCGAAAATTCACTTCACAGAATTTTTATTTCTTCGAATTTTTATTTGTCAGAATTTTTATTTACTCGAATTTTCATTTAACATAATAGGCATTTTAAAGAATTTTTATTGGGTAGAATTTCATTGAATATAGAATTTTCATTTAGATGAATTTTCATTTGTTCACGGAAAAAAAGAAAAAGTAATTTTTATTACTTTCATAGTAAAATGGGATCTGTCCGAAGTTTCTGCGCATCTATGGCAACTTTTACTCCAAAAATAGTAAAATTTGCTCCAGAAATAGTAAAATTTACTCCAGAAATAGTAAAAATTATTACAAAAATAGTAAATTTTACTATTTTTTGAGTAAAAGTTGCCAGAGATGCGCAGAAACTTTGGACAGGTCCAATTTTACTATGAAAGTAGTAAAAATTACTTTTTCTTTTTTTCCGTGTTCGAATTATTATTTGATATAATTTCCATATAATCGACTTTTCATACTAATACAGAATTTTTACTTAACCGAAAAATCATTTAATAGAATTTCTAATTGATAGAATTTCCATTTGTCCGAATTTTCAAATGGCCGAACAAACAATCGACAGAAAGATTTCAGCGCGTTTTTTAAAATCAACCAATCACAATTTTATGAATAATTTTTGATTGGTTGATTTTAAAAATCGCGCCGAAATCTTTCTGTCGATTTGTTTGTACGGCCATTTGAAAATTCGGACAAATAATGAAAATTCTATCAATTATGTTAAATGAAAATTCAAGCAAATAAAAATTCTGACAAATAAAAATTCGAAGAAATAAAAATTCTGTGAAGTGAATTTTCGGTTATATAAAAATTCTGTAATATAGAAAATCGCTTTGATGTAAATTATATGCAAAATGCTATTTCGAACAAATAAAAATTCGGCTCAAAACTAATTAGAACAAATAAAATTCGATAAAATGTAAATTATGACTAATGATTTTTAGAACATAATCATGCGTCCCTAAATTTTACTGTATAGAATATATGTAGATTATAAACATTTAGCGGGAATATGTAGCATTTTTAAAGTAGCGGCATTATAAAAATCTGAAAATTAACAAAAAAAAGGGTATAATTTTTCTATATACTGAATCTGTTTTTGTTTCTGAAAAATCATTTGAAACGTAATTTATAGTTTTAATTAATTTATAATTAAATTTGTAATATAATTATTATTTTATATACATGCAAAAAAAATTTCACTTGGAACAGCAATAATAAGTTTCACTGGAACAAGGAAATATTTCACTAAAACAGCGAAAGTTTTCTTTATTCTAGAGAAACGTATATCGCTATTCCAGATAAATATTTTTTTCCGTGTATACTTCATTTTATTATGTATAGATCATGAATTAGATAATAATTGATTTACACTGAACAAAGTATCATTGATTAAAGAAAATAATTTATTTGTCGGTATTTCATCGGCTACTTTTTTTAAATCAAGAAAATTTACTTTAAACTAGTAAATTTTTCTTAGATCAAGAAAATATTAAATGGACGCAAGTATATAAATGGGTTTTCTTGATACAATATACTATTTTCTTCCAGTGTAGATTATTATTAGATTAATTTTTATTATTTTATTTATTATTATTTATTGTTAATATTTTTATTATTAATTTACTTTTTTAAATATTAGACTTTTATTATTATTATTATTATTATTATTATTATTATTATTATTATTATTTTATAATTATTATTGGATTAGTGATCTAGATTCATGATCTATATTTTTTACAGAGAAAAAACGCTTAAAATTCTGAATATTTAAGTTATCAGTAGTAAAGATAACATATATAGTTTTAGTCAGACAAAATGTTTAATATACTAAAAATGTTTGTATATAAGTAGTAATGGAAAATTTTAGTCAGACAGTATTAAATTCTTGAATTATATAAGTACAGTATAATAAAATTTTAGTTTTGAAATTCTTAAAAATTTAGTTTTAAGTAGTAAAAGAAAATTGTGGTCAGACACGCAGTGTTTTATAAATTTTTGTATATTTTAATATATATGTATATATCAAAAGAAAATCACAATTTTACAAAAATTTTTTTTAAAATACTCTCGAAATTTTGAATATGAATTATTAATTATTTCATAAAAAATGAATTATAAATTAATATTATAATAAATTATTATATATATAAATGGTATAATGTATATATATTTTTAATTTCTAATTTTAGGTGTACCGTATGAAGATATTTTGAGAGACGGTGTAATTTTCTGTAGATTAATGAATAAACTTCAACCAGGAATTATTACAAAAATCAATACTTCTGGTGGAGATTACAAAATGATGGACAATCTTAATCAGTAAGTTATTTATAATAGAAATTAGAAAATTACTATTTAAATAAAAATTGCAGTTTCTAAAAAATTGTAAATTTTAGTTGAATTAAAAAAATCGAATTTACTTTGAATTCGTTTAATTCAAATAAAAAAATTGCTATATACATTTTTAGAAATTAAAATTTTTTTTAGACACTGACGATTTTTATAATTGTAACTTGAAATTTGATTCCGATTTTTGATAATATTAGTATACTAGTAGAAAAAGTAGGTTTTAGTCAGACATTAGGTTTTTTTTATAATTGTAATCATTTATGATTATAAATATTTATTTATTTATTTAAATATATTTTAATTGTATTTTTAATATATAAAAATTAATACCTAATGTCTCCAAACGGACAAAGAATTTACCTCCAGTATATTTCTGATTTCCTGATTAACATTCGACTTTACGCAATCGTATCTCGAATGCGTAATATCGACAAAAGCGACTTACAGGGTCGAGAAGATTGTGTTGGCTACTACACGCGATTATCAAATATCGTCTGCCTAATATCGACTTTAATTAAGTATATATATGTATATATATACCAACACCTCTCGATAGAATACATGTATAGACTCACAATATATTCGTATACTCCTCAATATGTTTTCCTGTTAAATAAGCACCAGTAAAGTGTCTGAGAGAACTTATTCATTCAAGAGAGAGATATTAACATATTATTGGAGTTGTCCGACTAAATATATAGTAATACTATTAGGAAATTAAAAAAAAAAAGATATGTATACTAATTTAAGGACGATATATAGTAAAGTGTCTATAAATTGTTCATAAAACATCAAACTCAATTATACAGTAAATAGTATTAAGTCACCTTGACGAGCGATGAATTGAAGAAAATTTAGTTGAGTAAAAGGAGAGTATAACAAAAAGTACAAAAAAAAAAGATTTGCTAGCACTTTGCTACATTCCTGATGAGATATTTGCATATGAGGAGCATTATTAATTCTCTGATATTTATATACATTTCAAAGAATTTAGTTTTCTCTTTTTTGTTGTGATTTTTTTCCATTTGTCATGAAAATAATTGCTAATAGTAAAATTAATTAATTATTTATTGAATAAATAAATAATAATTGAAATTAAAAATTTTCACGTAATTTCTCGTTTTTTTTTTTTTTTTTTCTTTTCTTATATGCGTTCTCTGTATTCTTTTGACATATTTTTGTGAATCGCAGATCAACCATCAGAATCGCGCGCGCAACTTATTCCTTTCGTTGCGCATGACAGATTTTTCTTTAATATTTGGCGTGTTTTAAATGTTAAGAGAGCGCTGAATTCAAAGTAGAGGGGCGAATGATGCGCAGCGCGGCCACTCCGCATTTCTCCCTTTTTATAAGAGCACTATAAATGATGAAGAAGTCGAAATAAATCGTTAACAAAGAAACTTGAGTCATACAAAAAAAAAAAACAAAAAACATTTAGAAACTATTTTCCAAATTTATTGCATTACCTAATTAAATTCATTTCTCTTCCTTTTCTTTTTTAATAAAGTTAAGTTCGGGTATTGAAAAAAAATTTGAATTCAAATAACAATATTTTTATTTTTTCAAATTAGTTAAAATACTTAAAATTTTATAATTTTTAAATCCCTTTTTTTTGTCAATTTTTTTTTTTAATTTTTCAATTTTCTATTCAAAATAAGAATATTATATATAATTTTTAATTGTATATTATCAAAGTTCAATATGTTAATGAGAAGAAAAATATATTAAATATGGCTATAATAGAAGAAAAAAAAGAAGATGTATTAAAAAGATTGTGAAGAGAGAAATAGCTTGAGAAAATAAGAGAGAAGAAGAGAGAAAGAAAAAAAGAAAAGAGAATCGCTCCTTTATGCGGCTGTTTGCCTAGCAATTATTATAAGTCAGTGACGCGCTTGTCTGGACGTTAATTAGTTGAGGCTATTAATTAGTCACTGATAAGCTTGACCGTATACATAGCGTCAAGAACTACGTGTCTACAATGAACAGAATTGCAGGATTGTCCTTGTTATACAATATATTGTATATACTGCAAAAGCGGTTCTTCGTTCAGGAATGTGTTGCTTCCTCTTGTTATCACATAAAATCCTGATGCACAGCGCGTCAGCCGCATATGACAACATTTCCATTTCTAGCAGACTTGATTATTATAATATAAAATTGAAATCTTTTGTCTTATAATAAATAGACGAAAATGTTTAATAATTAAAGAAAATATATAATAAAGGTCCCAAAAAAAAGAGCGGAACATTTGAAAAATATTTGCAATTTTTACTATTTATTTTTTATTATTGAGAATTGTAAACAAATTAACAAAAATTGTATTATTGAAAATATGAAACAGGAAAAAATTAGATATATAAAATTTAGTTAAAATATAAGTTTTCTAATTAGAATTATTTTTTAGATTCCAGAAGGCTTGTGTTAAATATGGAGTACCTGACGTTGATTTGTTCCAAGCTGTTGATCTAATGGAACGTAAAAATATCTCCCAAGTGACGAATACAATCTTTGCTATTGGTCGCACTGTAAGTTTTCTAATTAAATTATCAACTTTTAGAAAAGGCATTGTTTATTTTCTTCATTTTTTATTTTTTTTTTTTATATTATTTATTGTAATTTATAAAATAAATTGTCACGAATTTTATATAGACATACAGACATCCAGAATGGCGTGGTCCATGGCTGGGACCGAAGCCATCCGAGGAACACAAACGACACTTTACTGAGGATCAATTGAGAGCTGGAGAAGGTGTTATTGGCTTGCAAGCTGGCTCAAATAAAGGAGCCAATCAATCTGGTCAAAGTTTTGGAGCAACGAGAAAAATTCTCCTTGGAAAATAGAATATCGATGGAATTTTTCACTTCGAAAATCATTTCTATATCTTCAGAAGTTATATTTTACTATTATATATATATTCATTGTTATTAGTATAATTGTTTTACTATAATATTTATGGTCAGAACTAAAAAATACCGTAATCATTTTATTATATATACCTATATAATTAATTAATTATACTGTCTTCTTATAATTAATTAATTATTTGTTTATATTAATTAATTATTAACTCATTATTGTATATAATTAGTTAATTATTTCAAGTAAAAAATAAAATTATTAAAATAGAATACCTAACATATAAATAATTGTATAATGAAAAATTAAATTTGAAAAATAAAAATTCAACAATTAAAAAATGTCTCAGACAAAAATAGTTTATTAAATTTGATTAATTGTTTAATTAACAATGAAACATATAATAATTTTTTAACACCTTATTTTCTTTTTTTCGAAAAATTATTTATAATTTATTAATTAGAATTATGAATAATTCGCTGTGTTTTTTATTTATTTTGTTTATTTATTTATTTTGTTTTTAATTATTTTTATTATATATATTATTTTTAGGTTTATTCTGCAGCTTGTATATTCTGGATGTCTGATATACTGGGTTCCTGGTATGACTGAGAATTGTATGTCTGTAGCTGTATAGAGTTTATATTACTATATACATATTCGAGTTGTGTGGACAAGAGTGTTATCAGCACGTGACGTGTACATACGCAATTTCTTCCCAGTTTCTACACCGTGAAGCTTCGAGGATCACAGGCAAGTATCTCACGCTGAAGGAACGTGTTACGAACCCAAATATCAATTTCATTTCTTTGCAATATATATATATATATATACAAGCACATTAAAATATAGAAAAAAAATAAATCTATATTATCATAAATCTTTAAAATTAATCATAAATAATTTAATAAAAAAAGTTGTTTTAAATAAACCACAAAAAATATATATAATATTTGTAATAAAATTATTATTAATAATAAAATACACATTGAAAATAAAATTATATTTGATTCAAATAATCAGTTACTTGACTCAAATAAATATTTACTTGAACCAAATAATTTTTTTAAACCAAATAATTGAATTAAATAAACTATATTTGAAGCAATAATTTCTCTATTTGAAATAAATACAATTTAATTTACTTAGTAATTATTTGATATAAATAAATATTTATTTGATAATAGTTAAATGAATATTTGAATCAATAAATTTTTTCAGTGCAGTTACTTCACTATTATTAAATAAATATATATTTTATGCATCAAAAATAATCTTATTTTAAGATAATTTGAACTTAATAATTATAATTTTAAAACTAAACTTGATCTTAATTTAATGTTAAGCTTTTATGAAAGTAAGATGTCAGCAGATTTGAATTTAAGAAGTGCATGAATTTTAGACTCTTGAGTCTTAATTTTAAAAAAAACTTTTTCTTAAATTCAGTGTGTATAGTTTCTGGATTTTTAACAAACAATACTGTCTTTTGAAACACCAATAGATATAAAAAACTACATAGAAAATTAAAAGGCATTAAAATAAGCTTATTATTTTAATCCAATTTTGCTTATTTTAATCCATTTTGGTATTAAAATAAGCAAAATTGGATTAAAATAATAAGCGTTGCAGCTTATTTTAATACCTTATAATTTTCTGTGTTTAAGACAACCTTATATAACTGCATGATTTTTTTTACTGATTGTCAAGATGAATTTAAATCTTCATTATCACGATATTAATTTAATTTAAGATTTATTTTAATATGAAATTTGTTTTTACTCTTTTGTATACCAATTATTTCGAAACAAATATTTTTTTGCAATAATTGTTTGTTTAAACATTTATTTATTTAATAATAAAGTATCGGAATTTTTTTTATAATCAAGTTGCAATGAAAGAAGACGGTTTTTTTTTTTAAATTAACTGTTTTTGATTAAAAATTATTTCAAATAAAATATAAGAATAATTTTTAGAGCAACTTCGTGAAAAGGATGACGGCAGACCAGTTCTCGGACTTGAATAGGTTTTCAGTAACTCAGAGAAGGTTCTTGTTTCTTTCTTCACTTCCTAAAATCCTTATAAAAGGGGAGCGTCTCGGAGTGCCGCTCGAATCTTACCTCATTTCATCTCTTGAATTTTAATCAGAGAACTCAATAGATACTTTCATTATATTTATTATTTTTTTTTTTTCTATCAAAATTTTCTAAACTTTTAAAAAAAATGTATTATTCTTTTTTACCTCATTTTGAAAAGAATTCATATTTCATCTTCTTTTGAGTTTTTCTCAAAGTTTATGTAATTTTTAATCATTGCGACTAAAGTTCTAGAAAAAAAAATTGTTATCCGATTTAAAATTTTGATTATTTCAATTGTTTTTAATATTAAAACTATTTTTATTAGAATTAAAAAATTTCAAATTTATATAATCAATGATATGGAAATATATTTCTAAAAAATTATTCTTATTTAAAATTTATTTTTTTATTAAAATTTTGGAAAAAAAATTAATGCAGTGGATTTTTTTTTATGTCTTTAAATTGTATGCTTGGAAAATGGAAAAAAAATGGTTAAAATATTAAATTATTTGGTTCAATAATAATTATTCCAGGGGAAAACGAGTCTTTCCAGTTTCATTTCTCGGTCGACCAACTTGCTTGCTCTGATCTCCTGTTTATAAGGAGTCTCTATTCTGCGACAAACGGTTAGAAACTCCCATTATGAATTGTAAACTTTGGAAAAAAAAGAAGGAAATGGAAGAAAAATATGTTGTCTATTTTGTGTACGTATATGCAACCATTTCTGTGTTAAACACATATACAAATACGTATATAGTGTATACCTATATATCTATATAGTGTATAACTCTTTACAAATACATACAACTACTCTCTCTTTCTTTCTCTCTTCACTCGAATGCTATATAAGAATACAATTTACTTGTTTTAAAATAATCGTGTAAATTTTTTTTTTTTCTAAATTACATTTTCAAACAATTTTGATATATTTTCTAATCCTAAAATCTTTTAAATGATGGGTAAAAAATTTTTTCTTTTTGTATAATAAAATTTTAATTAAAGTTAGTGTTTATTGAAAAAAATTTTGCTAAGTGATTAATATAGTTTAATGAGTTATTTCTCATTTAAATCAATTTTATTTGAATTTAAATAAAAATATCAACGAAAATAAGAGAAAACTTTTTTAAAAACCTTGTATTTTTGTTATCTAGTAAATCCTTTTTTTTTAAAGATTGTTTACAGTCTAATTAAAAATGATCACAGTTAACAAATTGATTCTACTTTTAAGAGAGTACAAAACTCTTTAATTTTTGAATTATTTTGAAAATATATATTTTTTTTAAACAAATTTGTCCAAAAAGGAATTAAAAAAAATAATAATAAACTAAATTGTTTAAAATAAACAAAAAAATTATTGAATTTTGACAAAATATTACTAAATTGTTTGAAATTTTTTTTTTTAATTTCTCCAAATTTTGGAAAATTTTTCATAAAAAAAAAAATTTTTTTCAAAATTTTTTGTTTACCGATTGAGTATATTTCTGCCATCTGTATTGAAAAATGTGAGTTATTTTCTCATAGTTTGCTTGTGTGAATTTGCTGGTGTTTCAGTGAGAAAGAACATGGACGAAGTTTTTAGTGTAACTCCTTTTAAAAGGTATGTTTTTAATCATTTTTGATCATGAAAACAGTTTTTTAATTTATTTTTAATGATGTCAACTTTTAATTATCAAATTAAAGTGTCATTTAGTGAAAATGTTTTTCCAAAAATCGTATTATTTGTTTAAAAAAAAAAAGAAAATTGAAATAATACGCTTTGTATAAAGTGTTGGGCGATGTTTATGAGAGAAAGTATGTTATTAAATTTTTTCTATAATAAACATGTTTAGTTAATTTGTTGTTAATAGATTGAAAAAAAAACATATTAATTTTGTTCATTATTTAGAAAATTAGAATTATAAAAGATTAGATCGATTTTTTAATAAATTTTTAAACTGTCAATTTTTTGGAGTAATTTTTTTTTTATTATAAATTTTTCATATTTCTGTAATATGGTATTTTTTGATAAATTTTTTATTTACAATACTTTTTTTAGTGTAGTTTTTAATATATTAATTTCTTATATTGTTGGAATGGTGATTGATTTTTTTTTTTAGGTAGTACAAGATGTCATGCTGAAGTTTAAAAAAATATATTTTTATTGAGAGCTAATTTTGGATTAAAGACAGGAACAATAAAAAACAAAAGAAGTTTAATTATTATTTTTTGATTCTAATGAAACAAAATGCCTTCTACCTGTGGCGATGTCGTCGAAGTTGCTGGTAAGGTGCTCCAAAATAATAAAATAACATTTTGAGTTAATAAAATAAGTTTATTAATTTATTTACATGTACCTAGAGTTTATATTATTTTTTTTTTTATAATAATTATCAATTATTTTCATTTTTTTTTTATTATTTATTATTAATTTTTGGTACAATAAATAATAATTACTATACTTTGTACTTAGACTATTATTTCTTTATTTAATACTAAAATTTAATTTAATACTAATACTAAAGTTAATTTAAAAGAATTTTGACAGTGTATTTTTTTTCTAATGTCTCTGATGTGCTTTCATATTGAAAAGACAAATCAGCTGAAATAACAAAGTATTAATAAAACTCTCACTAAATAAAGAAAATGTTTTCTGAATTTCGTTTCGAATCTTGTTTTCTCTGTTTCTCCTTTAAAATTTATAATAAAATTCTAGGAAAATAATTATTTTTTAACAATTTTTTGTGTTTACTTTAAATTAAAAAAATTTCATATAGAAGGAAAAATAGTTTCTTTTTGACGATTTTTTTTTTTTTTTTGTAAATCAGTTTTTGTTAATTGAATAAAATTTAATGAAATTATTATTATAAATATAATTTGTAGTTTATTTTTTTTTATTTTGTTTACAGTCACAACTCCACAAACAGTGGTGGATGGAATTTCGAGTACAGATAGTGTTGGTACACATAGTGACGTTTCGGTATTAACAACAATTTCTGGTAGGCCAAGAATGGATGTGGCTTGTGTTCTAGATTTACATCAACCTGAACATCTTGCTCAAAGAAAAAAAGCTTTCGAAGAAATTAAACATGCTTGCAATTTAGTAAATGCCAAAATGCATCACATACAGGTATAAAAAAAAAAATTTATACTTCAGAGAAAAATATATTTGTTATGTATTTAATAAAAAATAATAAAATTTCAATAAATTTATATACAGTTCGAGAAGCTGGACTTCGGGGAAACAAATGTATTGGATACATTTTATAATGCAGATGTTGCAGTAGTTGATTTAAGTATTCAACTTCAACAATCAGCTCTTTTTTATCATTTGGGAGTTCGCGAGAGTTTTGACATGAAGGAAAATATTCTTTTAAATAACGATACAGATGCTGAAGCAACAATTAGACTCAAAGTAAGTCTCAAATATTTGTAAAATACAAATTAGTTGAAAAAAAAATTAAAAATTTTTATTACATAATTGGTATTGTATTTAAATTTTTTTTTTTTTTATAAATTTATAATACCTAAGTAAAGTGGAAACATTTCTAAAAATCAAATAATATAATTACGTTCTATTGTTTCGTGTTGAAAAGAAAATGTTTTTGTAAATCACGATTTACATGCATTCCTTAAGGGACGAGGATGATGACAAATAATATGCATATGGCCTTGGTGATTTATTAAAGCTTTGCCATATAGTGTTGGTCTCAATTAAAAGTGTTATTAATAAACTTGAGAATATACGAGTGACCTAGTCTTACAGCAATACCTTGTTAAGAAATTGTCCTTGATTTTTTTTTCAAGAAAAAGTGGAATTAAAAAGAATTTACGAGTAGTGTGAATCTTATAGTTAATAATTGCATTGAAAAAGCAAAAAAAAATGTTTCAAACTTCTCTCAGCAAGAAGTTAAAATTATTTGCTTTAATAAATATACAATTTATTCTCAAATTCAATATATTCCATACTCTTGAAATTAGAATTCTAAATTTAAAAGTATATTTTTAAAATGATAATTTATTTTTATTTCAAAAGTAGAGTATAATTAATTGCAAATTAATATTATTTATTAAATAATTATTATTAAAATTATATTAATAATAAATAATTCATTGCAATTAAAATAATTTAAAAAAACAGGATTTTTTTTAGAAATTCTATTTTGATTTTTAATAAAGCGCGAAAATGACAAAAAAAAATCGAAAGTTGAAAAGTATCAGGAACATGTATATTCAAATGTGAAATTAGTTAATTAGTGTGAAATAAATAAAAAAAAAATGGCTGCTTATTTACCTTTGATAAGGGATCTATGAAATTAAAAGTAGGGTATATCAGGAAGTACATATATATTATGAGTTCATGTTCTTAATATAGCCATTATACCATACTAGTTGATGTTCATGCAGTCAGTTATAATTCACAATTTGAATTGTTATATGATAAAAGAATAAGAAAGATGTGCTATTTTAGTTTTATTATTTTAATAATAGTGTGGAAATTATTTATTTGCTTGGAAATTTATAGTTTATTTTATTATTTAATTCGACAAGGTTTGAATGTAAAAAATTGTGAAGTGTCATTAACTATTAAAAAATGCCGTCATCTCCTAGTGAAAGCAGCGATTCAAGTTTATACGTTTATTTTATAATTGATGCAATATTAATTTTATTAATGACATTTCTAATATCTTTATACATTCTAATTAGAGGTCATTTACTCGTGATTGACATTTTATAATTTCTTTTTTTTTTATTATAAAATTATAAATATTATACAAATATTTGTAAAACTTGTTTGTAAGTTTTGTTTTTTATTTAATATTTACTATTTTAATTTTATTTATTGTGATTATCACTATATTATAAAGTAAATTAATAATTTATCAAAAATTTAATAATTTTAGTAATATTTTCATTTATTGTTTACAAAATTTTAATTGTGAATTATGTTTAAATAAAATATATATATTCAATGAAAAAGTGGTCATTAGATGGTTTTGTAAATATTTGAAAAGTAAAAATGATTTTTATAGATTATCGTTGAACTTTGATAACTCGAGTTTTTTTTTTTTTTAAATTTCAAACTTCTTTTAATTTGTTCTATTTCTGGTTTGATTAATATTGTAGATAATACAATCGAATATTATTAATTAATAATTAATTATTCTATTAATTGTAAGATTTTTATGGAATAATTAATTAAAAAATTGTTTTTAAATTTATTTTTCAATTATTTATTAATTAATTAAATTTTAATGTTTCTCACAGTTGTCATGTGGAAGTTATACATTTGTTTCGTATCGAGTGATGGAATGTGGAACTTGTGTTTCAACGAGTCCAGCGGCAAGTATTGTTACTGGAGATGAAGTAATTGATCCAAAACAACATTTGACATTAAAGCTGAAAAAATTGTTTCAAGATGTTGAAATACAATCCAAGTAAATTATTTTATTATTATTATTTTATGAAAAATAATTGAATTTCAATGTAATTAATTTAATTTTATTTTGTAATTAATTGCAGAGCTCACATGAAAGAAAAATTCCTAGCAGATTTGCGAAAAGCTCGCGATACTTTAACTGGTGAAGAACTTTCGAAAGCATTAAATAATATGCGAAAACGTTTGGATGATCCTAATGTTCTTTCAGGAGAAGTTGTACTCAATGTTTTAATTTCGTTTCGTGAGATACAGGTAAATTATTTTTTTTTATTATTAATTTAAAATAAATTAATTTTTTTTCGTCAGTTAATTAAAATGGCAAAAAATTTAATTAGTAATTTGTTTTTTTTTTAGGATTACGATGCAATGGTTCAGCTTGTCGACGATTTGAGAACTGTGCCGAATCATAAAAATTCAATAAACACTCCTGCTATTCGTTACTTGTACGCTTTTGCTTTGAATCGAAGAAATAAGGAAGGTGATAGAGAAAGAGCATTGAGAGTTATTGAGAAAGCTTTAGAAAAAAAAGAGAACAATGTTCCTGATATGCTTTGCTTATGTGGAAGGATATACAAAGATAAATTTGTTGAAAGTCGTCACACTGATCATGATAGTTTAAATAACGCGATTCACTGGTACAGAAAGGGTTTCGAGGTATTAAAATTTTTCAATTTTTTTTAATTTAATTTAATTTAATTTAATAATTATAATTTTATTTTTATTTACATTTTTCAGGTCCAACCGAATGAATATGCAGGAATAAATTTAGCAACACTATTAGTAATAGCTGGGAATGAATTTTCGAAAAGTGAGGAGTTACAACATATAGGAATGGTACTCAATAATCTTATCGGTAAAAAGGGTAGCCTCTCGAGTTTGAAGGATTATTGGGATGTTGCTACTTTCTTTGAGATTAGCGTCTTAGCTGAAGATTACACAAAAGCAATTCAAGCCTCTGAGTGTATGTTTAAATTAAAGCCTCCCAACTGGTAAGATTGTTGTTTTTTTTTTTTTTATTCAATTTTTAAAAGGAGCAAAAAAAATATATTTTGTTAAATATTTACATTTTTATTTTAAGGTATCTGAAATCGACAATTGGCAATATTTCCCTTATTGATAGATTTCGAAAGAAAAATGAGGAAACTGAAACATCACCCGAGGAACAAATATTCAGTTTTTGGATGGATTATTTTGTCGAAGCAACCAAAACTGAAGTTGGAGATAGTATAAGATTTCCGGTAAATTAATCCTTTTTTTTTTATTTTAATTTTTCGAAAATGTTGAATTGAATTTTATTTATATTTAATTTTTTTTTTTTTACAGATTTTGGTTCTAGAACCGACAAAAATTTTAATGCCAAGTTATGTGAATGTAAATCTTGGTGCCGAAGAGAAATCGATTCAAATTTGGAATTTGTGTTTAGATAGTATGAAAAAAAATTGCAAACAAGTTCACGATTGGCTTTTCACTGCAAATATGATTCGTAGTGTTAGTTTGTATAAGAGAGATGAAAGATGCCTGTTTTTATATGTGCATCAAAACTCGGATGACTTCCAAATGTATTTTCCGTCGATTCAATGCAGACAACGCTTTTATAATCTTGTATTGGAAATGACGAGAGATCAGGAAGGCATGGTGACAGATTTGGACACTTATATGACAGGCGAAGGAATGAAGGTTTTTATCATTTATTTGGAAATTATAAAAAAATATATATTTAAATAAATTTGATTTTTTTTTCTTTTTTTTAGTTTGAATACGAACTCGATGAGCAAAATAAGCGAATTGTTTTGGGTAAAGGAACTTATGGAATTGTCTATGCGGCTCGAGATTTAAACACTCAAGTGAGAATTGCCGTGAAGGAAATTCGAGAAAGAAATTTAGGTGACGTTCAACCGCTTCATGAGGAAATTAAATTACATAGTCAATTAAGACATAGAAATATTGTTCAATATCAAGGATCAGTGAGCGAGGAAGGATATTTTAAAATTTTTATGGAACAAGTGCCTGGAGGTAATAAATTTAATATTTGGAATTTTATTTTTTTTTAACAAATTTTTTTTTTTTTTTTTTTTTCAGGAAGTTTATCGGCTCTACTTCGCTCAAAATGGGGTCCTTTGAAGGAAAATGAATCGACTATTTCCTATTATACAAAACAAATTCTCGAAGGACTGAAATATTTACATGATCAAAAAATTGTTCATCGAGATATAAAAGGTTAAAAAAAAGAAGATCGAAAAAAATTTCTATATTTAAAGAGAATTTTTTTTTTATATCTATATTTAAATGAAAATTTATTATTTATAATTTAGGTGACAATGTGTTGGTCAACACTTATAGTGGAGTTGTTAAAATATCAGACTTTGGTATGTCGAAACGTTTGGCTGGCCTTTGTCCGAGTACAGAAACATTTACAGGGACGTTGCAATATATGGCACCAGAAGTTATCGACAAGGGACAACGCGGTTACGGTGCACCGGTAAATTATAATAAATTAATTTTTATCATTTTTACGACAATAATAAATAGTAAATAAATTTGAATTTATTATTCAAACCAAATAGGCTGATATTTGGTCCCTTGGTTGTACTATTGTGGAAATGGCAACGGGTAAACCACCATTTATTGAACTTGGATCTCCCCAAGCTGCTGTTTTTAAGGTAATAATTTTAATAATAAATATTGTAATTATAAATTATTTTTTATTTAAAAATAATAAATTTTCTTTTATTCTAGGTTGGCTACTATAAAATTCATCCAGAGATACCATCAGAATTGTCTGAGAGGGCAAAAAGTTTTATTCTTCGTTGCTTTGAGCCAAATCCTGATGTCAGAGCGAGTGCAGCTGAATTATTAGAAGATCCATTTTTGACTGAGTAATATTATTTTTTATATTAAGTATTTACGAAAAAATTAAAATTTTTCCATTTTCATTTTTTTAGTTGATTTTTATCGTTTTTTTTTTTTTTTTTAATTTAAAGTTTTAATTTTTTTTGTGACTAATTGAATTTTCTTTTAATTTAGAAAGAAAAAAACGTCCCGATTGGCAGCACCGCCTGATTTTAGTAGAAGTATATCCGTGCCTGCTGAACGATTGGAACGACTTGGTAAATGTGATAAGACTAATAACAACAACATTGTTCCGGCAGCTCCTATTCAAGCTTCTCAATCGGATGACAGGTAAATAAATTCTTAATTACGTTCTTGAATTTAGAATATAATATTTTTATTTATTATAATTTTTATTATAAAAAAATTTTGTGAATATTTTTCTTTTGCTGCGTATCGCAATTTTGCATTCATCAAGCTTTCCATTTGGTTCACTAGGTACTTGTCTAGTTTGTTTTTATTATTATAAATTGCAGTGATGTATTAATTTCTTTGCTTATTTTTTTTTTTTTTTTTTTTTTTTTTGAGTGACGTCGTCTTCCATTTCAAAATTGTAATTAATATTATTACAAATTTTTTTTTTTTTGTTGTAAATTAATTTTTACTATTATAATTGAAAAAAATAGTTTCAATTAAAGTAAAACAATTGGATAGGTAAAATTTGTTTTTGAGAATTAAAAAACTCGCACAATTTTAATTACCTTTTAATTAAAATTTGCGTTTTGAATTTAATTCTATTTTTGACCCTTATAACGACCTTTCCACCGATTTGGTTTTTATTACATTTTTTTTTTATTTATTAGTCATTGGAATAATTAAATTTTATTTTTCTAATGAAATTTGTATTGCAATGTATTGCTATAAACTTGACAAGCTTTCATTTTAGTACGATGGAATACTAAATTGTTTTAATCTTGAAAAAAGTAATATGTAGAAATAATCCCAATATAGATTAAAATTGTAATTACTAATATTAATTAATTATTAGTTGTTATTTGTAATTGAGATTTAATATAAGAATAGAATAACAGCTCACGAATATATAATACGTAAACGAGAGAAAATTGAAGATATTGCAAATTGAAGTGTATTATTTTTATTCATGGATTAATTGGAATAATTTGGTTTCCACGTTAAATTGGCTATAAAAAAGATAGTTTTCTAATTTTTTTTTCTTCTTAATATTAACGGTAAAAGTGTCATGTGTAGCGGAGGGATATCAAAATCGAGTCCATTGAGAGAGAGAAGTCCAGCCCACCTTCTATCCCCCATCCGCATGCCTACTACTACGTCTCTTTCATTTAACAGGTACAGTACACTATTCCCCAGTTGATTTGTGCAACAGGAAATATATCTCACCATCCCTCAAATTGAAATTTGTTTTTTCTAATTTTAATATATATATATTGTGAATAAAAATAAAATAATTAAATAATTGAAAATTTAATTGAATTCTGAAATAGTTCAAATAATTTCTTAATTGTTCGTGAATATATATTTATATAATGACAATATTTATTTTATTTAATAAAAATCACTGATTTCGGATTAATTATAATATTATCTGGCCAAATGTATTAGTGAACATATTTTCAAGTTATATAGTGTTTTCCAAATTGAAAGCTTCAAAATTTATATTTTTTAAGTGATTTTAATTATGTTTAATTAATTATTAGATAATTAATTCATTATTGATTAAATGAGAGAAAAAATAAAGAAAGAAAGTCTTAAAATGATTCATTAATAATAATTTTTTTTTAGAATCAAATTAATTTTTTTTACTCAGGTAGAAAGTAAGATAAATTTTGTTTCATTAAGTATTAAAAAGCGGATAATTGGAACAAAATTAAATATTGATTTATGGGTTTATTTAATTAATAATTTTAAATTAAAAAAAACTCTAACACATAACACAGATACAACAAAATAATAACAAAAGTATATATTTAAAAATATTAATTGCCAATTAGATTAAAATTAATCCATTTAATTTATATTCATTCGAGTATTTTTAATTTGTTTAATAATTATTATTATTGTAGTATAGCAAATCATTAATATTTTATTTGCTTTTACAATTGCTTAGCTTGTGAAAAGAAAAAAAAAATTTTTTTATTTGAATTTTTGCTTATTTAAATTGTAATTTAAAGGCTTTTTTATGTGCTTGATTTTATTTATTATTTTAATTAATAATAATTTTATGATTATTTTATATTAAAATAATTCTTTTTTTTTTTGATTTAAAAAAAATTATAAATTTTGTTTGAATTTTATTCTTTTTATTACAAAGAGAGTGCATTTTATGCTCAATGTTGACTCGGCAGATTAAGTTTCATTTTTTTTTTCGATATTTAGTTAGCGAAGCATATTTATTTTAAATTTTATTCTCACAGTAATATAGGCAGCACACCGTCCATAGAAACAAGTGAAAGTGATGCTTCCGGTGCTTCTATGACAAGAAGAAGTTCCTCGGGAGGATTGTTATCTCCAGAAGTTGAAATTAATGGTAAATTTGATAAGAATTCATTATTATATTTTTGTTTATATATATATGTTTTATTTTTTTTTTTTTAAATTTACAAACCGATTCGTAGATTTTTATTCATCGATTGTAGCTCTAATGAAAAAAAATATTTTCTTTTCAAATTTCAGGACAATTGGTACAAAAAGCTGGAGATGAACAAGAGGGATTTTATTTATTGAAAAAAGACAGTCAACGACGAATGACACTTACTCGAGTATTGAGTCAAGATGAAAAGAAAATCTGCGAAGTTTGGATGAAAAGTATTCATCAAGATGTTGGTCAAACAGTTCTTCGTATGGTAATTATAAAAAATAATTTACTAAAAAAAATATTGTTTTTTTTTATTATTTGTTTCATATATACAATTATATGTATTTATTGAATTAAATTTGAAATTAATTTTGTGCGTCGAATTTACAGGGCCATTTGGAATTACTAATGCGTAATTTGAAGGATTACATTGCCGATCAGAATCAGGACGTAATAACGACAGCAATCCGTACTTTGAAGGAGGAATTGGATTTTGATTCGAACGCCATCAATCATTTACAGCTGGCCATTTACCTGTTTCAAACTGCAGTAAATGAAGTCCTTCGAATGCACAGCATTAAACCACATTGGATGTTTGCTCTAGATAATCTAGTCAGAAATGCCGTTCAAGCTGCTATTACTGTTCTCTCTCCTGGTATAAATATTAAAAAATTGAAAAAATTTTGAGAATATCTAAAAATTAATTTAAAGAAAGTATATATAAAAAAATATTTTATAGAATAATAATTTGGAATTATTAACAAAATGAATTTAAAAATATTTTTTCAGAGCTTGGTGCTAATTTAATGGGTCAAGAGAGAGTTCAAGCAGCTGGTGAAGGTCCTGAAGAGGGTTCAACTTCTGGAATATCAACAGTCAATTCAATTAAATCACAAAAAACAGTTGATTTAATTGAAAATAAATATTGGCGGGAATATCGCGAAGAAATGGGAACATTAAAGATTGAAAATATGAAGCTTTTGCAAGAATTAATGGAGAGTCAAAAAACATATCAGACATTGTTACATCAAGCATTGGAGGAGCAAAGAAGTCAAATTGGTATTTTAACACAACTTTGTGAATCAATTAATAGAAGGAGTGTTAGACATGAGTCGGGGTAAGTTAGAAATTTTTTAAATTTATTGAAATAAATAAAAGAGGGTAATTTTTTTAATTTTCGATTTTATTCTACGTTTAATTTGTTTATTAATAAACTTTATATACTTTTTTTCTAGATATTGTTCATCAACTACAGGAATTGATTCGACCTCTTCAATTCCATCGCATCTACCTCAAATTAATGTTACGGATAATAATGCAACAACAACCACTGACACTAGACTTGTAAATTGGTTACAAACTATTGGTTTGGATGAATCATCAATTGAAAGAGTAGGGAAAAAATATTAATTACTGTTTTTTATTTTATTATTATTATTTGAAATTAATATTGTCTATTTTATTTATTTTTAGTTTTCGTATGAAGAATATACTTTTGAAGATGTGGCGTATCATATCATGAGAGAAGACCTTCGCAAATTGAACTTGAGGTAAAAATTATAAGCTAATTAATAATTATTTTATTTCTCTATTTTCAAAATATTTTCAATTATAAATAAATATTATTCGAAAGCAGAAATATTATCTACAAACATTTTTTCCAAATTATCATTGAATTAGAATTTTGATTTGATTTTGATTTATACTTTTACTACTGATAAAAAAAAATTACATAAATTTGGAGAATTGAATTAAAACTGATTTTTAATATTTCAATTTTCTTTTTTGCAGAGGAGGTGTTGAATTGAGGATATGGAAAGCAATACAACAATTGCGTAAAGAAAACTGACACCTAACGAATATTAATAATCCAGATCGAATTCTACTAACATTATATATTTTGTGAAAAAATATTTATTTTCACTAATTCATTGCGTCAATCGCTTTTTTAAAAAAAAAAAAATCAAAAAATATGCAAGAGTTTTGAGTATAAAATCAAAATCCACGTTTAATAACAATTCTTTTAACACACTGCGATATGAACTTAAAAATCTCGTGGCGTTTCAATATAATAATAATAATAATATTAAATTGAAAATAATTAAAAGTATTTTTTACAAACGCACAATTCAAAGTAATATACTAAATACGAATTATATTTTAAATGATTATTTTTGTACTCCAAAAATAATTCTAGTCTTTTTATGCAGCTTTGAAATATTTACAAGTTTTGTAAATTGAATTTTTTTGCTGTTATATATGATTAAGATCTCACGCGAATTTTATTCGTCCAGTGCCTTAAAAGTAAATATAGAAAGAAAAAAACAATAACGTCCATTTAAATGCAATATACTTCATTTTACTCAATACTATTTTTGTACTACCAATGAAAATTCCGGGAATGGAATAAGCAGCTGTTAAATTAGTAATAATAATAATAATTATATGTACATAAAAAAAAACGTTTCTTATTGTGTAAGAAAAAGTAATTTCTTGTTGATAATGACAAAACAAATGCCACTAAATTTGTTATTGAAAATATAATTCTATTTAAAGAAAAAAAAAAAAATTCACAATATTTTTTCAAATACACAATTGCAATGTTTTTTTTTGGAAAAGAAAAACTTTTGAAACAAGGGTGTCTAATGATGATGAGTATTGTAAAATATTGAAATATTCATCAACTTTTTTCAATTTTCTGAAAAATTTTTTGACAATTTAATTAGACAATTAAAAAGTTTGTGAAATTTGGTAAAATTATGGAATTATTTTTCTCAAAGTTGTTAGACATTCTTTATTAAAGAATAAGAATTTAAAAAAATTGAAATAATCTTAAAATTTAAAGAAATTCTTCTCTAATGAAGTAATCTTAACAGTTGTGCTTAACTTGAATTAACACACAAACACCGAATAAAGTACCTCAATTTCAAAATATGTTATATATAAAGAGATATTGTTTATATTTACAATTATTATAGTAATTCTAATTGTTATTTGCAGACATGATTTGTAATAAAGTGAATGATAAAACAAAATTAGAGTTTGTTTTTAATGATATTTTTATTTTTTATTAATGAAATATAAAAAAAAAGTTAGAGAAAAGAGAGTCTGACTAATACTTGTTTTCTCTACTTATAGTTAAATTATGGGAAATTTAGTCTGTTTGTCTGACCAGAAATGACTTTTACTACTGAAACTGAAATAACATTAATATATAATACGTTTGACAAAAACTGATACTAAATTATAAGAATTTATTTGTCTGACTGAAACTGTATTTCACTACTTAATTAAAAAATTGACAATATAGATAGTGATACTTATTTTCCTGTTGATACTAAATAATACTGACTTTTACTACTGAAAATTAAAATAACACGAATTCAAAACTTCTGATAAAACATTATTTTTACGACTGATACTAAATTGCAAACAGAAAAATTTAATGTCTGACTCAATAGATTTGTACTACTTATTATAAAATTATAAATTTTTAAAACTTTTTGCCTAACTAATACCGACATTTACTACTTAAATTAAAATCAAATCGATGCAAAACGTCTGACAAAAATTTACTTTTACTACTGTTACTATAATGCAAAAAAAAAAAATGTCTGACTCAACACATTTTTACTACTTATTGGAAAATTATAAATTTTTTAAAAAATTTTGCCTAACTAATACTGACATTTACTACTGAAATTAAAATCATATAAATGCAGCATGTCTGACAAAAAATTACATTTACTACTGATGATGTAATGCAAAAAAAATTAATGTCTGACTCAACACATTTTTACTACTTATATTGAAATTATGATAATTTTAAACATTTTGTCTGACTAAAACTGGCGTTTACTACTGAAACTAAAATTATATTGGTTCAAAACAAATGTATTTTACTAAAACAAATTTTTTATAATTTGGAAAGTTTGGCTAATACTTATTTACATTACTTAATTATTTCAGAAATTTAATGATTTGTTTAACTAATACTGACCACTACTACTTAATCTAAAACTACACAAATTTTGGAACGTCTGTCAAAAATTTACTTATACTACTGTTTCTAACATACACGAATTTTTTTGTTCGACTGTAACTGGATTTCACTACTTAAATAAAAATGCTTTTAAAAAAGAAAACTTAAAAAAAAATATATATTTGATTAAATTTATATACTTGACTATTATCAAATAAATATTTAGTTAAACCAAATAATTGTTGACACCAAATAATTCAGTTAAATAAAATATATTTGAACCAATAATTTTTTGTATTTGAAACAAATATCATTTAATTGACATAAAATAATAATTATTAATAATTAATAATAATTTAAAAATTATCAAATAATAATTATATATGATACAAATAAATATTTATATTATAATATTCAAGTAACCGATTATATTTGAATGAAATAATTTTTTTTTTTTACGATACTTTATGAATTCCGTGCGAAATAAAAAGTAGGTTTAAATAGAAAATCGATAAAATAAACCACTTTTCATAATAAAAATTTGGTTAAATAAAAATATTTTCATCAAAATTATAAATATCGTCAAATAAAAATTTAATAAATCGTACAAAATTGAAATGATATATTTTTCCACAGAAATCAATATATATATATATATACAATAGATGACGTCAGGGGATTCTATTAAAAATTTTCATCTTTATTTTAATATAAAGTTTGCTCTTTCCCCCCTCATCAGCAATTCGAGCAGAAATAAGGATCAGGGTGCTTTAGCTCGTATTTGTATAACTTAAGATTCTTGCTTCTTTTGCAATTGTAAATGGTATCTCGGCGTCGTTATCCATTCGCATACATTAAAGATGCCCCCCTATTTTTTTTTTTTTTTTTTTTTTACGAATTCGCGGTAGAATAAAATGCAATGAGAGAGAAAGAGAAAAAAAAGAGGGATGCTGAAGATCTGTCGGTAACAGACAGTTTACGATTGAATAGCTCTCTGCGCCGCCGCATCTAAAGGAAAAAAATCGTCTAAATTGCCTTTTATATATAACCACTGATTTTTCCACACAGACCCCCCCCCCCCTGTCAAACTGTCCGCAATATGTCCTGAAATTAAAAATCTTTTTTATTATTCCCGATATAAAATTGAATAATTTTAATTGCAAAAAAAAAATTTATTTACAGCCAGTGAATTTTGGATAAATTTGAAAATTTTATTATTATTATTATTTTTCATTTTGCAAAGTGGAAATGTTATTTGTCTTTTGTAAATTGAGTTAAATTTTGGTTTAGTTAGGGTTCTATCGTATAAGGAATAAAGAGATTCGGTGAATTGGAAGCCAGTCTAAGTTTACATTTAGAGAGAGAGAGAGAGAGAGAGAGAGAGAGATGAGAAAAAGGGTTGTCTTCCCTAATCAGAGATCAGATCCCTAACAACTTCTCATTCAGTATAAGCTTCTAATTAACTACCTGAATCTTTGAGTATCTTAAAAGAGGAAGAGCGATTTTCGTTTGATTAGATTTTCTTTATGTTGAATCAAAGATGTGGAATAATAATTAAATTCTGAAATTCAGTTTTTAATGACAAAAAATTTCCTTCTCTTTTTTTTGTAGTTTTTATAGTTTTCTATTTTCATACACAGTTAAAGAAAATTTATTTGATTCAAATAATCGGTTTCTTAACTATTAATAAATATTTTTTAAATAATTTTTTTTTAATTAAATAAACTGTATTTGGACCAATATAAATACCACTCAAATAATAATTATTTAATAAAAATAAATATTTATTTAATACAATTAAATATTCATTTGATAATAGTCAAGTAACCATAAATTTTTTTTCGATGCATTTTGATGAATGTTTTTTTTTCCAAGGAATTTCTTTCTATTTTCAAAATTGGTATTTAACTTTTTTTATTCGATTATTTATTGAATATGTAAAATAAAAATTATTAATTATTAATGAAAAAAAAGGGAAAATTAGATGATTAGAAAAGAAATTTTCATTTTTATAGAGCTTGGTAACAAGATAGGAAACTGTCTAATTTAGGTTCATCCCTTCCTTCTAATTTCCTGTCTGCATAAACCATGGAACCCTTCGACGATATCAAGTCGTTTCCACTCACCCCTTTATCTCATAACATAGCAGAGAACAAAGCAGCAGATGTTCTGATAATATATACACATATTAATAATTTAAATTTCGAAATACTATTTTTCATTATTGTTAATTTATTATAATTATAAAAACAAACGGAGTTTATTTTTTTTGCGAATTTTTCTTTTTTATTAAATCATTTTGGTTTAATAAACAATTTTGTTTTTTTTTTTTTTTTTTGGGTTTTTCAATACGGATTTAAAAATTGTTTCAAGGTAAGTAATAATTTTGTCTATGAAAAATAATTTTTAAATATTTTAATAATACTTTTTTTTATATTAGTCATTAAATTTAATAATTATTGAGGATTATTTTAAAATTTTTTGTTTATATAGGTATGTCAATAATTTTCCAAAGTGGACTTTAAAGTTGTGAGCGAGAAGTTGCAAAACACAATTCAGATTTAATGGAATTTGTGTTTGATATTGGTTGCTAATACAATCATCTCCAATGCTTGTGGACTCTCTAGCACTCTCAATTTTGAGAAATCAATGTTCAAACAAAACTGCTAAGCAAACAAACAGTCGTTAATGAATTAGTTATTATGTATAAGTGTGGAAGTTTGCGATAAATTTTCTAACCGCTTAAAGTGTTTAATCATTTTAAAGCGTTTAATTTAAAAAATAACAGTAAATTGAACAATATTTGGAATATTCAAATTTTTCATAATATTTCTATCAATAATAATTAAAAAAAAAAAATGTTATAGGAAAATTTTAATTTACAAAAATTAAATAATTAAATAATTAATAATATACTTATTTATTTATAAATTTTTATTTACCGTTCACTATTAAAAGTTACGTGAAAAATATTTTCTAAAAATTCCTTAATTTGGATAATTGAAAAAAATTCTATAATTCTATTTTAAGGAGCGGATAATTAGAAATTTAATTATATATGGTAATATGTTAATAATGCGAGAAGAATCTTTGAAATTCAAGCCAAGAGAAAGAATGGACCCTTTGATCCGCCTCGAATTGTTCTACATTCGAGGACCATAGTCCTAAGAGAATTAAGCATCCAGTTCTCAAGTCCTTGTCGCTTCTGTATATAGTTAAATTATTATCCCCCTTACTTTCGAAGACGAAATCCCCATAATGCCGGGGAATGTTTCGCTGATAATGCGATTAAGTTTGAGAAGTGTACTTTACCGTTATCGTGAATCGTGCGAAAAGGGAAATTTCAGATTTTAAAAAGCATAAAGTGAATTCGAAAGATAAGAGTCGTCAAAATGTGAAAATAATGCGAAAATTTGTTTTGCAAAAAAAAAAAAGAAAAAATTTGCAATTAATAAATTTGTAAATTTTCACAAAATAAAGTATATTTTTTAAAACAAATTCTAATTAATTAAATTAACTTGTCTTTTTTTCTGTAAAATTATTTTGAAAAATAATTAATAAAAATTAGTAAAAATAATTAGTAAAAATATTTAAATTCTATATAAGAAAGGGGGTAAAAAAAATATTGAATATTTGTGGAATAAGTAGCGCCACGGCGCTGGCATCGACAGTGTGTTGATGTACAAGTGTTTCGACAAGTTTCCTTATAATTATATAAAATTCAAAAGATTATATTCCATTTAAACAAGGTGTGACAAAAAGGCAAGTAATTTAAAACAAACAGGACTTTATTTGTGAAAAAAGAGGGAAATTTTGATTTTTTTTGTTGAAGAAATTTTCGAATTAAAAAAAAAAAAAAAAATTAATATCGCCGAGAATAAAAGTTTATCGAAAACTCTTTTAAGAACTTAATATTTATTATCGTAATAATGAACGAGAGTTCGATATAAAAAAAAAGTTTATCTCTTTTCGTTAATTTATAGACTAATTTTTTTATGTCCTTCTATAAACCTCAGTGAAAATTCCATTCACGCAACTATGTAATAACGGTTGCTAGGAGGTGTTTGGCGAGGCATTGACCGGACCATTTTTGTTCCGAAATTTTATTTATTTTTTTTGATCATTGAAAAAATAATATTTTTTTATTTCTATTTATTGTCTTACATTTTTTAAATATATAAATTTTTTTTTTTGTGGAAATTTTATTTTTAATAATTATTTTCAATTTTCTTTCAGGCAATATTTTTTGACACTGAAAACCAAAATTTATTTGATTCAAATAATCGATTGACTATTATCAAATAATTATTATTTGACATAGTATTTGTTTAAAATACAGAAATTATTGGTTCAAATAAAATTTATTTAATTTAAATAAAAATTTTTTTGGTTCTAGTAAATATTTATTTGATAATAGTCAAGTAATCGAATATTTGAATCAAATAAATTTTTTTCTTTTCAGTGTATATAAGTCAAGAGGAATTTTCAATTTAGAATTTGAATTCAGAAGCTAATTTTGTATTTCAATGACTCTTCAACGAAAAAAAAAAAATGGGAAGGACGACTTTATATTGACTCTTATATATTCTTAAAAGCCAATCAAATTGGCTACCACTACTCTCCCTTTCAATAAAAAAAAAAAAAAGAAAAAAAATATGAAACTCTCAAAGCTTTCTTCTTTGTTTGAAGTTCGAGAGTCTTATTTGTTTGATGTATATATTCAATAGCCTTCAAACCACACCTTTATAATTTTATTATGTGACTGCGTATAACTTTATTATTTCTTTTTCTGAATAATTGATTCATTTGAAAATCAATTTAATATTCCATCCACGAGATACAGTTTTTATTTTAATTTCACTTGAAAGTTTAAGGAAAATTTTATTATAGAAATTTATCATAATTTACATTCAGAGAAATATTTTATTTAAACCAAATATATAATATATTTGTATTAAATAAACGTATATTTTTCTCAGACCATTTATTTAACGTAAAAAAAATTTTATTTGTCAGAAGTAAAATTTTTATTTAAATCAAATAAAATTTATGAGCAATAAATAAATATTTATTTTGCTCTGAGACAAATATATATATATTTCTCTGGGTGTACAAATGAAAAAAAAAATTTATTTGATTCAAATAATCGGTTACTTGACTATTATTAAATAAATATTTATTTAAAACAAATAATTTCTATTTGAGAAAATTAAAATAGTATTTGTTTTAAATACAAAAATTATGGGTTCAAATTAAATTTATATTTAATTCAAATAAAAAATTTTGTTGATTCAAATAAATATTTATAATAGTTAAGTAATCGAGTATTTGATTTAAATAATTTTTTTTCAATGTAGAATTGAAAAATATTTCTTTAGAATAGGAAGTATTTTTTTTTTGCGATTTCTCGAAAATATTCCATTTTCCTTATTCGTTTTAAGAAGGAAAAAAAAAATTTATGGGGTCGAGTTCCTTTCGTCAGTGACAGTAGGTCGATTGCTTCTGCTTGATCTTGCAGACAGGCTTTCCCTTTTACGTTATCGTGGAATAAGACGTCTCTGATGGAGAAGGGGAGACGTGACATTTTTTTTTGCGGGGTGATATAACAAAAATCGTATGGAGGCGCAAAGTGCATGATACAAGGGGTACATGAAAAAATGGAGGGACGTTTCTAAAAAACAGCCTATATTTGCTGAGACAGAAAAGAGTGTGAAAAAAAGATGAGGCTTTCCGGTATTATGTATATATATATATATATATATAGTAAGAGAGTGCGATAAAGAGAGGAATATCTGCTCTTGCAGTGTCAGCAAGAACTGAGATGCTCTGCAGACGCTCCAGGACTTGAAGTGCCCTCTTCGAAGAGAATGGAATCGAATGAGCAGGCACGAGATGGCAGAGATAATATCTGAATATTGAGGCACTAAGCGAGGACTGTCGCGCTCATAAACCATGCTGATATGAATGCAGATGACTCAATTTTACATGTTACAAAATGCTTATGGAAAAACGATGATAAGCATTTTTTTTCTTTCGTCGCTAATTTCATCTTGGATTAGGTTGGGAAAAAAAAATGTAAAAAATAATAGAAAAATTACTCTATTGAAGCATAATGTATAACTGAAAATTGTCCTTTACTACTTAAAGAAAATGCCAAAAAAAGTCTCTTAAACGATTTTTACCTCAAAATTATAAAACTTTTTTTTTTTTGTCTAACTGAAAATGACTGGCACTACTTATAAAAAAAAGTTACTTGGAAAGTCTGACTAAAAATAGTTTTTACTACTTATTTAGAAATTATGAGATATTAAATGTCTGATAATAAATTACTAAAATAAAAAAATGTCTGACTAAAAAATGATTTATAATACTTATTATATGAAATTAATTACGAAAACATTTTGTCTGACTCATATTGATCTTAACTACTGCAAAAAGTTTTGTATTAGAATTTATTACTTTTTTTACAACAGTTAGAAAAATTTCTCATATTATTATATTGTCTGACTAAAAATGTCCTTTATTACTAATAATAAACCTATAAATCATTTGAAGTCTAAAAGAAAATAAATTTTTTACAATAATAAAATATTTAACGTTTTTTTTTTGTTAATATGAAAAAATAATTAATAATTTCAGCGTTAAAAATTAAGAAATTTTTTTTAATTGAAAAATAAAAAAAAAATGAGTTTTCTGATTATTTCCCTTTAATTATAGAAGTGCCTAACAATGTCGGATTCTGAAAGCAGTATCGACAGTTTCGAACTGATGAAAAGGAATTTAAGCATGGAAACTGGCGAATCCAGATTCACAAAGAATGAAGATAACGACAAACTCGAGGAATTTGAGCTCCTGTTTCGATCAATGATGGAATCTCGTGGTCCCTCTCAAGAGGACGAGGAGGCTCCCCCAGAGGAAAGAAACGATGAGAAAATTTCAGGTATTTTTCAATAGCCAGAATAATAAATATATATATATATATTTTAAAAATTAATTTTCCTTTTTTTTCAATTTATTTCCATTTATGGAAAAAAATGGAATATTTATTATATAATAAATGTAAATAAAAAAATAAAAAACCCTAAATAAAAAAATAAAGAAATAAAATATTTTACAATTAAGCCCGCGTGTTTATTCTATGGTTATTCAAAGAGAGTTTCCTACAAAAAAAGTTTGGGATACTTTTTAATAGAACCAACAGCATCCGAGCTGGAACAAAAATTTTTGAAATTTTTTTTTTTCGAATAGATAATTACAGGAAGAGTTATAAAAACAGAAAAAACGTATATGGATCACTTTTTGATACGACTAACAGCATCCGAGCTACAATGGACCAAAAAATTTTCATAATTTTAAATTTTCGAAAACTTGCCTCATGAATACCAGAAGAGTTATCGGGAGAAAAATAAATTCTTCCTTTTTTTTCGTAGTCTTTTTTTTATATGAAAATAAGCTCTTGGAGAGTTTACCTGAAAAAAAGGGCTTTTATAATGTGAATTTTTTTTTTTCTTATTACGTCTTGAGAATGTAATGGGAAAGAACCGAGATTGCGTACATTTTTCGCTTTCAATATCCACATTCTATGCTTGCCGAATTCAAGGACCCTACAAGTTGGATGGAAAATCTAGAAGAGAGGCTGAAAAAAAAGAGGGAGCTCTAAAAGAGAGCAAAGCGAAGAACTTACTACTAGGACCTAAAGGTAACCTGTTGAGAGCTTAGAAAAAAGGGGGCGAGAAAGAGAGAGAGAGAGAAAAAAAAGAAAGAAAGAGAGAGTTAAAGAGACTAAAGCAGGAGAAAATGTAGAGTTTGCAACTTAACTTGGGAAATTTTCCAGACGCTCCACTTGCCAAGGGCATTACCGAAGGAAAGTAGCTAAATTGGAGGAAGGAAATTTTCTTCACTCGAAGATTAAGTCCTTCCCAAATGAATAGCGAACAACTTTCTTTTTTCTACTCGAGAAAAGAAATATAAAAATTTGAAAAGTCGAAAAATAATTAAAAATTGATCATTTTAATTTATTGTTTAAAAAAAAATATATTTTTTTTTCTATATTTATTAATGAAAATTGTATTAATTTTGCAAAAATAAGAAGAGAGAATTATTATTTTTGAAGGTCCCTATAATAAGGGGATTATGGTTTTTCTGACTAAATGAAAGGTCAATATGAAAGGAGCTTATTTTCTCTTGACAGAAGCCGATGAGGGAAATTAAGTTTATTAGGTGGAAGCAAAAAAAAAAAAATTATATTTCTGAAGAAGGATAAACGAATCTTTTTTTTGTAATCGCGAAACGTTTTTGAAATTACTGATTGGTAAAATTGAGAGAAAGAGAAAGGGACCAAATATTAATTGCGTTCTGCTTTCATCACAAGGGATTTTGCTATATATACATACAAAAGATATACACAATATAAGGCAATCAAATATAATTTCGATTTTCTTTTTTGTTTTATTAAAAATTTATTATGTTTTAATTAAAATGAAAATTTTATTTTTGAAAACTTTTTTCCTTGCAAAAAACAAAAAAAAATGTTATTAAAAAAGAGTAATTTTTGATGTTAAATTTGTAATTATTTTAGAAAATTAAATTTTGAATGTATAGTTAAATTTGTATAATTGTGCAACTGCGAGCGCAGCTGTTGTCAGATCAGCGGCGCGGGTGAATTTCACATCTTTCATGACATCCCAAAGTGACTCCTAAATTTTGCGGGCAACCAAAACTAGAATATTCAAATGTATGCCAGACCGTCTGGTTCTAAATTAAACTCATAAAATGCCCCGGAAACCGCACACGATAGTGTGTAAGTATTTGTAGTTTTGCTGGGCTTGCATTTGTGTGGCAAACGTGACCTCACGTACTTACTTGAATTTTGTCACCTAAAAGTAAATGTACAACGTCCCTTGACATGATCATAATTAAAGTAATACATATTATCGTTGGACACATATTAAACTAAATTGCTTCTATTTCATTAAATGAAATTTCAACATTTTCCCACAAATTCAAAAACTGCAAAAGTTAATGAATTTTATTTTTTGGGAAAAAAAAGAAATTTACAAGGAAAATTTTTTTTTTTTGTATTTTTCTGTCGATTGCAAAAATTATGGAAAATTAAAAAAAAAATTATACATTTAATAAAACATTATTGTTATTTTTACATACTGTTTTTATTTTCATTACGTTTTGTTTAATCTAATATAAAAAAAAGTTTTTGTGTTATAAAGAACAAGGTGTAAAGTTGAAAATTTTGAATCTCAGATAGGTGTTTGGATAGTTTTTCTTCTTTCAAATATTTTCTAAAATGATTGATAGTAAAGCAGTGCACTTAACAGAAAGCTTTCCCATGAAGAAAATTGAAACAGTTTCATGCCAAAAGCACATTTCGCATTTGCTTTGCCAAAAAAAAAAAAAAAAGAAAAAAAAAGTGGGAATTCCCCTTAGGATATAGAATGGAAAAAAAAAGTTTTCAAAGGTAACGGAAGAGAGCTTTACCGGTGTGGAGTCGATTGCGGAGTGAAAAATGACATTGAGTTCAAAAGCCTCTAAATAAGAAATCACTCTTGAAATATTCTCACACGCATTATTCACTTTTTGAACTTTCACTTGAGTGAAATTCTCCGCTTGGCTTCAGTGAGAGTGACTTGCCTATCAATTCATCTTGTATTCGTCATTTCTCTTTCTCTCTCTCTCTCTCTATAAATATATAAATGCGTTAGCGAATATTTTTCAAGGACACTCACGCCGACCCTTTTGTGTTTTTTTTCTACTTTTAAAAAAACGTTTTATCTTTCATTTTACTTTTGTTTTCTATTTTCGTCTCTATTTTTTTCATTTATATAATGAAAAAAAAATGAAGAAAAGTAAAATTTTTTTTATGTAATTCTCAATGCTATAAGAAGGGTATCATTTTTTTTTATAAATTTACACTGAAAATAAGATTTATTTGATTCAAATAATTGATTACTTGATTATTATTATCGAATAAATATTTACTTGGACCAAATAATTTTTGAGTTAATTAAATTGTATTTGTTTGAAATACAGAAATTATTGTTTTAAATACAGAAATTATTGGTTCAAATTCAGTTTATTTAATTCAAATAAGTATTTTATGATTTAAGTAAATATTTATTTGAGAATAGTCAACTAAAGAATTATTTGAATTAAATAAATTTTTTTCAGTCTACACCCAGAGAAATGATATATTTATCTCAGAGTTAGATAAATATTTATTTGTTGCAAATAAATATTTGATTTAAATAAAAATTTTACTTAGGACAAATAAAATTTTTATTTACGCTAAATAAATAGGCTAAGACAAATATATGTTTATTTAACTCAAATATATTAAATTTAGTTGAAATAAAATATTTCTCAAAGTGTAAATAATGATAAATTTTTATTAAATTTGTTTTCTTTTGAAAGAAATAAATAATTATTTAAAGAGGATTTTATTGATGGGATTTTTCTAATATTTAATAATAATAATAATAATAATAATATATGTATAGTAATAGGATTTTGGTATATAAAGGTTTTTTTTTCAAAATAATCCGTATCGACAGAATTTACGCAGGAAGAATTACAGTAGTTGCGCAATCTGGCCAAACGACGTGACATGATGGAAGAAAGATATGTCCTGCGAAATGAAACGTGCAAGGCTTTTCGTACACGGTAGAATGAACAGGGTGGATTAAAGATGAGAGAAAATATTATATAGAAGCCGAGGGATATAAGGTGGCCACCATCTGGGAACATCATATCAAATATTGACCAATGGGCGTATTGGCCTTATCAAAATATTATTTAATCCTCCGAAGGGATCAGTTATGAGTTCCTTTGTCTAACCATCTATGAGACAATAGAGATTTTAACCCCGTTGTTTTTTATCCTCTTAAATTTCATTAAACAATCAATAAAAAAAAGAAACAATTTTGATAATAAAAAAAAAAAAAATTTGATTGTTGAATTTATTTTGAAATTTGAAAATTAATTAAGTATTTAATTATGTTTGACTGTTATAAAATTTATACTACTGATAAAATTATTAATGTTCAAAAAGTCTGACTTAATATTTACTTACACTACTGAATTAATTAAAAAAAAAAGGTTGAATGTTCTGATTAAAAATCTTTTTTACTACTGTTTTTTTATAATTTAGTTAATATGTCTGATTAAAAGAAATTTATACTACTTATATAATTAGAAAAATTTGAAAAATATTTGACATTTACTACTGACTTTGTAATTTAGTCATTATGTCTGACTTAAATCAAATAATACTACTGACAAAACTACGAACGTTTATAAAAGCCTGACTAAAATTGATTTGTACTACTGATAAAACTACAAAAATATTGAAATTTCAACTAAATATTGACTTACACTACTGATTTTACAATTGTGTCATTATGACTGACTAAAATCGATTTATTCTACTAAAAAAATTACAAACATTTTGAAAGTTTGTTTAAATTTTTTATACTGATTTTGTAAATTTGTAATTGTGTCTGACTAAAATCGATTTGTACTACTGAAAAAATTACAAAAAAAAATAAAATTGAAAACTAAAATAGATTTGTACTATTGATAAAACTATAAAAAATTTATAAAGCCTGACTAAATATTTACTTTTACTACTGAAATTACTATAAATAAAAAAAGTCGTACTAAATATTTATCTACACTGAAAAAAAATTCTAGTTAGATTAACCAGAATTCTGGTTAGGGTATATTTAACATTTTGATTCTGGTTAGGTTAACCAGAATTCTGGTTATTTTAACGAGAATTCTAGTTAATTCAACTAGAATTCTGGTTAACATAACTAGAAAGTAATGTTAATATAGCCTAACCAGAATTTTTTTTTCAGTGTACCGTATGGAAAAAAATATTAAAAACTACTTTATTAAAGAAATACCTAAATAATTAATAAGAAATAATTCTATTACTTTATTAAATTAAAATTGTAAAATTTGTGAAAAGAAAAAAACGTACCTCAGTAATATTTACTCTGGTTTATTTATTTATTTTTTTTGTTAAATATACGCATTTTCTTCGCACAACTATACAAACTGAACTGGAGGGACTTTTTTTTTTTAATGGTTTCGACATTATTTTCCCACTAATACCAAACAAAAGGGAACTCCTGGTACCGGTTGACACTCCCCATAGTATAAGCTACCTTCATTCTAATATTTGCAAATCACTCGCAGTATTGTTTCTCAATTTCTCTTAGACACAGTTCCATTTTTTTCAATTTTGAGAAAAAAAAATTTTTTTTTTCAATATATTGCTGCAAAAAATAATAAATTTCGTCAATTTTTAAATTAAAAAAAATCAAAACAATGAGATCCAAAAGATCAGAGGGTGAGTAAAAAAAGATTTATAATTTTTTTTTTTTTTCAATTTTCAAAGATTCTTTTTTTCCGAGCAAAATTTATGTGCTTCTTGTTGGATTGATTCGCGAAATATAAAATGATATGATATCACTGTAGCAGCGCATAGAGAATATGATCGCGTGCAACGTCAATTGTTTGCAGAAATATTCTTGCGGTTTTCGTGACATTAAAATTGGCAAAGTAAGGATGAGACGAAGGGAGGGAGGGGAGGGGAGGGTAGTTTGGTTTACCATTCGTACTTTCTGTACCTGGTTATTTGACCTTATTGCTCGATGATTATAATCTAAGTACACTCTATTTTATATTGCCAGTTTTATCATAACAGTTGAAAAATTCACAACTATTTGTTTCTCTTAAAATTTTCAGCAACAATTTTTGTGACATAAAAAAATTTTTTTTTCCGTTTAGAAAAGTATTTTCATTTTTTCTTTTTAATGTAATTTTTGTTTTTTCAGAAATATTTTTTTTTAAATCTTAATTTTGGTTGTAGATTGTTTTTTTTTATTTATTACCTGTTAATTGTTTTTAGATAAATAAATTTGGGTAAATTAGAATAAACTATTCTAAAAAAAAATGAGAATTTTTTTTGTATATTTGAAATTTATTTTTCAAAAAATATAAAATAAAATAAATTTTCAAATTTAATTTTGTGAAAGACATGGCGGGTCCGGAAACGCCGACAGATTATCGTCTCGAATTCATTGGATTGATTGTGCAAAAATCATTGAAACTTAAACCGGAAAAATGGGGACGTTTATTGATGATTGAAGAACATCGAAATTGTGTTATGGAATTTTTGGACAATCCTGTACCAGCTGCACTTTTTGTTGTACTTACACCAAATGCTCAACTTATACCATCCTGTGGATTTCCTATTCCGTGTCAAAGAACTAAAGGTAATTTTTATTCATATTCAATTGATATTTTTTATTATAAAAAAAATATTTTAATCAATTTTCTAATTTTCTTTTTTATGGATAAATTGTTGTTCTTTTTTTTTAAGTAGCAAAAGATGAAAATAAAAAATATTGTAATAAAGAAGAGAAAAATATTTTTTATTTTTTTTCAGGGATCTACACGATAAAAGTGAAGATATCTTCAGTGCCAAACGATCAGAATGGATGTGCGTCAATGCTCATCACCGGTGACTTGTCTCATCGTGTTGTTGACGAGCTCGCCACACTTGTGGACAATATTTTCTCTCCTCTTCTTAGTAAAAAGGAAAATCACAAAAATCTCCCTGAAGTGGCACTTGAAGACATCAATAGACACGTTTATTCCCTAAGAGGAACTCTTTATCAAGTATAAAATCTTTTTTTCTTTTTTTATTTTCTTATTTCATTTACGATATATATAGTCACGAAAAAGTGAAAAGAAGGCAAAGTAATAGATATAAATTATTATTATTTTTTTTTCCTGGAATTTTATTGCTAGGTCAAGGGTCAAGTGAATGGAAGAACAGTGCTTCCAATGCCAGCAGGTCTTGAGAAAGTGTCAGAAGTTGAAAGATTAGTTACCACCGAAGGACCACAGGCGGTCGATTTATATCTCAAAAGTTCAATAGAAGGTGTGGTGATTAAATGGGCTTATTTGGTGAACGATGTTGTTACACAAGAATCAGCATTTGCTTTTGAAAACGGACAAAATCCAACACCTGACGTTGAACTTGAATTTTGGAATAAGAGACTTGCAAATTTGAGGTGAAAAAAAAAAAAAATTAAATCCCTTTTTTATAATTTTAATATACAAATTTTACATAGGGTCAGTTGGGGTAAATGGGGAAAAGAATTTAGATAAGCTTTAAACTCATGAAACTGACTGTTCCCATTTACCCCAAAATTTAGAAAATTTCATAAAATTCGGAGTAAATGGGGACAGCACAGTTTCTAAGAAAGTTTTAAGAAATGTATTAAGGGATGAAAAAACTTGAAAACAAAATTTGTAGTAGATATATAATAGTTTAACCAATTAATTTTTTTTTATTTTTTTTTTATTTCAGTTATTTGTCTCGCATTCGAAAAAAACAGACTTAAAAATCATACCAAATTTTTTTCTTATTCTTTATGACTCCCATAACAGAAATTCACTTGAATTTTTGAATTTTGTTAATTTGGTTAATAACGACAAGCTGTCCCCATTTACCACAAAAATTTGAAAACTCAGGGTAAATGGGTACAGCTTGTCATTATTAACCAAATTGACAATAATCAAAAATTCAAGTGAATTTCTGTTATAGGAGTCATAAGGAATAAGAAAAAATTTTGGTATGATTTTTAAGTCTGTTTTCTTTGAAATGCTCGACAAAATACTGAAACAGTTTGACTTTGATTTTCAAGTTTTTATGCAGAGAGCGATAACTTTTTTTATCTTGCTGCCAATTGTCAAGATAAAAGTTTGTCAATACTCAAAACCTCTTGCAGGTGATCTGAGATTAAAATATTGACGTTGAACTTAATTTTAAAACTGTAAATTAAGCTCCAAAACCTCTTGTCCCCATTTACTCCAACTGACCTTATTTAATTTTTAAAATAGTTCGATCATTTTTTTTTTTATAAATAAAAAACTGAATAAAAAGTTTATTATTATTATTATTATTTTTTATAATTACAAAATATTGTCAATAATTTACAGAATTCTGTATTCATAAATATATTTTGTAATAAATTAATTAACAGATATATTTTCGATCAATTGCGTGAGGAACGAGTGAAAAAAATGGCAAAAATTCTCGAACTCACTGAAAGTGCATATTTTCCATGTTTTCGTACACTTTTTGAAAATATTGTCTCATCATTGGCTGAATCAAAAGAATTGTCACTTTATTTATCGCCATTGGCAAAATTTTTTAAATCAATTGAAGAAACTGATTTTTCTGAAGCTAAACCATTAATGGCTGTTGTAATACATGCCGTTGGTTTAGCATGGGCAAAAACGAAATATTATCAAAATTCTTCGAAATTGATAATTATGCTTAGGCAAATTTCTAATTTGTTGATTCAAGAGGCACGTCGTTTTCTCGACCCGACATTAATTTTTCAGAGTGACGTTGATGAAGCTTTGCAGAGGGTTCAAGTTTGTCGAGGTTAATAATTCATAAATTTTAATTAAAAAAAAAAAAAAAACACACACACAAAATAAAAATAATTTTTTCGAAAATAAGATATTTTTTTTTTTTGTATAAATTTTTAATTTGAAAAATAAACATTTTGATTTAATTTTAGACGTTCTTGAAGAATTTAAAAGACAATTTGAATTACGTAAACATGAGCCTGGAATGAAAATTGAAGCGCCACCATGGAAATTTGATCCAAATGTGATATTTATGCGTTTAGATGCATTTTTAAATCGGTTGGCAAATATTGAATGGCTTTTTCATACGGTTTTGGAATTTTCAAAATTGGAAAAAATTGAAATTGGAAGTATATTGGGACGATCGCTTAGTGCAAGAATTGTTGCTGTTTATAAAGAATTTCAACAACTTTTCACATCATTTACAACAAGATCGACTGATGTATTAGAACCAGATGATAAATCATTTGCAATTGATTGTGAAAAATTTAGTGCATCAATTATTGATCTTGACAGTAAATTGGCTTCTATTTTGTGTCAAGCATTTGACGATTGTCATAATTTAGAAAGTGTCTTTAAGGTGAGATTTTTGAAACAATTTGATTACAAAAAAAAAAATATTTTTTAGAAAAATATTTATTTAAAAAAAATTAATAATTTTAAAATATTTGAATTGTAATTAGTGCAATTTTTCATAGGGGAAAAAAATAGAAATGAAAATGTTTGAAAAAAATAAATAAAGTTTGAATTTTAGGTGATAAATTGTATTTTATTGCAGTTGATAAACATTGCGGGATCAGTTTTAGAGCGTCCAGTAATTTGTAAGCAATTCACGAATCGCTATTCACGTATCCTGGAACTGTTAAAGCATGAGCTGACTCTGATCGAAGTCCTGTTTAATCTGGGTTCACGAGGAGCCATGAGTAACCTTCCTCCATTGGCTGCCGGTTTACAATTTACGAGCATGCTGAGGCAGCGAATCGATCACCCAATTCAAGCCTTCAAATCTCTCCAACATCCGTGAGTTATCAAAAATTTATATAGAAATACACAATTTTCTGCTTTTTTTTTGAGAATATTGTAAAAAAAAAAAAAAATTCTTTGACTACTAATAAAAATTACATTTTTTGTCTCTCGTCCGACTGAAAATTACTTTTACTACTTATTCTAGAATTAGGAAAATTTATTATTCTTTGTCTGACTAAAGTTATTCTATACTATTGACTAAAGAAAAACACAAAACATTCTAATTTGTCTGACTAAACTTATCTTCTACTACTGATGCAAAAAAATTACATTAATTGTCCGATGGAAATTTTTATATAATAAAAAAATCGGACAAGTGCGAGTTACACTTGCACTGAAATCGAGAGTTCCGTACTCGAAGCGAACTTATTTGGTGTATAAAAACAAATGTTTAAATAATATGTGTTGTATGTTAAATAATATATGTGATACAAAAAGGAACAATTTTTAAAAAAAAATTTAAGAAAATTGTTCCTCCTTTGGTATAGATTACTATACATATTTTTTAAACATTTGTTTTTTATACCAAATAAGTTCGCTTCGAGTACGGAACCCTCGATTTTAGTGCGAGTATAACTCGCACTTGTCCGATTTTATTTTATAAAAAATATTTTACTAAAAAAAATATAAGAAACATATTTTTATTTAAACACGCAATATTTTTATTGTATTTACATTTTGCGTTTTAATTGAATTTAAATCATATAAATCACTTAAATGAGTTAAAGAAATTTATTGCTTTCTCCGCGAGGAACCCAAATTTTTATAAAATGAACATAAAGAATAAAAAATCAACTCTAATCATCCTCGCTATATTTTTTTTTGTAATCTACACGTAAAAATACGTCAAAATATATAAATTTGAATCACTTTAGATAAACCTTTTTTCGTTTTTTGCGGAAAAATACATTTTTTTCTTAAATTTATCATTTTTCTTCAAAAATTTGATAAAAATTGATCATCAACTCTAATTGCGCTTACATTTTTTCCCTGTATTTTTTACGCAAAAATACAGTTTTACAGCAAATATGAACAGTTTAGGTTGAATATTGTGTGCGCTAGGGAGAATAAATATTTTTTTTTCGAAATTTTTGATTTTTCCTTGACAACGCTATGTAAATTGATCCGAATCAAGTTCGCTATATTTTTCCTGTAATTTTCACGTAAAATTACGTAAGTGTACCAAATTTGTGCTCTTTATGTAAAAAGATGTGGCTGCTAGGGGGGGGGGGTACATAGTCATTTTTAGGCATTTTTCGTAAAAATTCATGGTTTTTCCTTGACAACGCTATGATAATCAACTTCAATCATGCTCGCTATATTTTTTTTGTAATCTACACTTAAAAATACGTTAAAATATATAAATTTAAATCCCTTTAAATAAAATTTTGTTCGTTTTTGGTGGAAAAATACATTTTTTTCCTAAAATTGTCATTTTTTCTTGAAAAACTTGATAAAAAGTAACCCAGATAGCACGGAAACTTGCAGCCAGCTTGCGGCAAGTTAACCGTGCAAGCTTGCTGCAAGCTTGTATGAGCTAGCGAAATGTCCCACCCAGGGCAAGCTTGCCGTGAAAGCTTGCTGTAAGCTTGCCGTGAAAGCTTGCTGTAAGCTTTCCAGGAAAGGTTGCTGCAATCTTGACATGAAAGATTGCTGCAAGCATACTAAGAATGATTGCGGCAAGGTTGCCGTGAAAGATTAATAAGGTTCCAAACCGAGTACGGAACCCTAAAAAAATAATAAAAATTTTATATAATAAAATAAATTACAAAAATTTATTATATTTTGTCTGATTTAATTTAATTTTACACTATACTGATAATAGAATTGAGAAGCCTTTAGTCTGACTAAACTTGTTTTCTACTACTAATAAAAAATTACAATTTTCAAGTTTGAAAATTTTTTGTTTATTTAATTTAAAAAAAAAATGTTTTTAAAAAAATTTTCTTTTTACTATTTTTCAGAATTGTTGAGAGTGATGAAGGTAAAGATATAATAGTCCGTTATGAAAGACTAACAATTATATTGAACGACAGAAAAGATTCTTTGTTTAATGATTGGTCCATAATTGTTCCAAGATTGGTTGACAAAGGATTGAGTCGATCTCTACTAACAAGAGATTCAGTTTCAGTTTTGAGTTTGAATTTTGATCCCGATTTATTGGCAGTTTTGAAAGAAGTCACTTATCTGATACAGATGTGTGATAAAGAAATTCCTAAAATTGCACTCGAGGTATTGTATGAAAAAAATTATTTTCAAGTATGTTTTATGTTTCCTCATCAGAATTTATTTATTTTTAAAATATTAAAAAATTATTTTTATCTTTCAAAAATTAATTTATTATTAATTGGAACATAGGATTTGAAAGAAAAAACTGAATCCCACTCATTGTCAGAAAAAAATTTGTTTGAAGCAACCAAATTTTGGTTAAATCAACAAAATAAATGCATTGATATACAGTTAACCAAACATTTATTTAGCTCAATCAAATTTTTTCTTTGTTCAAAAAATTTATTAAAATAAACCAAACAGTTATTTAGATGAAATAAATATTTATTTGAATTAAACAAATTTTGTTTGAACTAACCAAAAAATTGGGTAAATATAAAAAAAAATGGTGCATTAGGTTCAAACATATCTTTTTTCTGAGTGCCTAATAAATTATTCTCAATCAGGTATCGGAAGCGTCAGAAATGTTTCGCAACTATCGGACATTATTGGGAAGCACTGTCATTTCATACAACAACATTCGCAAGACATCCCGTCGTGTTGAGTTCAATCTAATAGAACTTGAAGTCGCCAAAGTAGATTCTCTCGTATCGCGAGGTGAGAATGAACTATATTGGAAATCGGAGGGCCTCAACGATTATATAAGTGAATTAGGCACTTTGGTTGAAAATCTTTGGGGTCGTGTAAAAGCAAGTCAAATAAATGTCGATAAAATTCAAAGTATCTTTGAATATTGGATAAAAACACCTCTAATCGAAAGAAAAGATCATCGTAAAGATTTATTACTTTCATTAGATGAAAGAGTAGAAAAAGTAACAAAACGTTATAGAGATATAAAAAATGCTGCAAATGAAATTCATTTTCTTCTTGGGGAAAATGAAAAATGTTTTGAAATTTCTAATATTGATAATGATGCATGGAGGGAGTATGTGGAATTTATTGATGATATGGTAATGGAATCATTGAGAAAAACAGTTGGTTGTAGTTTAAGTTATTTGGTAGAAAATATGGATCCAATTTCACAGAAGGAGCCATTATTTGAAGCGTCATTAGAATTACGTGAACCTGATCTTTATTATGTACCATCATTGGAGTCTGAAGATCCTGATGGTTTGGAGAGTTTAGTCTCGGGACTATTGGCTGATATTATTGGAATGGCCACACTTGTTCCACGGCTCAATAATGGCAAAAGTTATGCCGATGAATTGGAAGATGACGAAGATATTAAAGCAATGAAGGAGGAAATTCTTTTTGGTATGAATCGAGCAATTGAGGAGGCAACTGATTTTTGCGGTGTTTTTGAAGGTATAATTACACAGGCACACAAAAAAAAAAGTGGTTTGGCTGAGACACAATAGTAGTATATGGGTGATTCCACGTCAGATTTTAATTCAAATTTTAAATTCGTCCAAAACTATTTTTTTTCATTCTTCATAGTAAAAAAACGTATACGTATTTTTTTTTTTTTTTTGGTGCCCAAATTTTTGAGTTATGAATTTTCAAAATTTTGGTTTTTGAAAAGTAGACCTATTTTCAACGACCTACAACTTGAAAACTATTGAATTTAGAAAAATTTCATTAAGAGAAAAAAGTTTCGATTTTTTGTCGACTTTTTAATAATGTCAAAAAAAAAATTATTTTTGAATTTTTATTTAAAAAAATAATAATTTTTTATAAACAAATTCATTTTTTTTCAATTTGGACATTTTTTTTTTTTAATTTTTTTTTTTCATTAGATACCTGAAAATAATAAAAAACGTTTGCACAAAGTTTTGGAGTGGGCCTGATGAGTTTAATGGGTGAAAATGAATTTTTAAACTCTGCGTGCAAGTTGAGCGCGCGACGTACAATCCGAATTTTGCTAGTTTAAGTAGGAGTGTTTTTTAAAAGTTAGTTTTTAATTTGTTTTTCTTATTTTATAACATATCTATTACAATTAATACTTTAAAATAATAATACTGATAATATAATTATTAACGTCGCGCGCTCAACTTGCACGCAGAGTTTAAAAATTCATTTTCACCCATTAAACTCATCAGGCCCACTCCAAAACTTTGTGCAAACGTTTTTTATTATTTTCAGGTATCTCATGAAAAAAAAAAATTAAAAAAAAAAATGTCCAAATTGAAAAAAAATGAATTTGTTTATAAAAAATTATTATTTTTTTAATAAAAATCCAAAAATAATTTTTTTTTTTGACATTATTAAAAAGTCGACAAAAAATCGAAACTTTTTTCTCTTAATGGAATTTTTCTAAATTCAATAGTTTTCAAGTTGTAGGTCGTTGAAAATAGGTCTACTTTTCAAAAACCAAAATTTTGAAAATTCATAACTCAAAAATTTGGGCACCAAAAAAAAAAAAAAAAAATACGTATACGTTTTTTTACTATGAAGAATGAAAAAAAAATAGTTTTGGACGAATTTAAAATTTGAACTTAAATCTGACGTGGAATCACCCATATATTCCCATGTATTTTTCGCCGCTGAATCCGAATCTGACGTCGGAATAGTCAGATTGGCTCTTGTTTTTGAGTTATACTCAAAAAACGACTCAAAAAAACTAATTAAAATAAAAAAACAAAAAAAATTTTTTATGTCACTACACTAGTGTATTTCTATGTATTTTTTTCCGCTAAATCCGAATTCGACGCCAGAAATGTCAAATTGGCTCAAACTTTTGAGATAAACTCAAAAAACTGCTCAAAAAATTAGTTAAAATAAAAAAAAACGAAATTTTCTTTTTGCCAACACACTACACTAGTGTATTTCCATGTATTTTTTCCCGCTGAATCCGAATTCGCAGCCAGAAATGTCAAATTGGCTAAAAATTTTGAGATAAACTCAAAAAACGTTTTGATTTTAAATCACTTTTTTTTAGCAGTTTTTTGAGTTTATCTCAAAATTTTTAGCCAATTTGACATTTCTGGCTACGAATTCGGATTCAGCGGGAAAAAATACATGAAAATATACTAGTATAGTGACCATAAAAAATTTTTTTTGTTTTTTTGAATCGTTTTTTGAGTATAACTCAAAAACAAGAGCCAATCTGACTATTTCGACTTCAGATTCGGATTCAGCGGTGAAAAACACATGGGAATATACTACTGTAGTGTCTCGGCCACACCACTTTTTTTTGTGTGCCTGTGTAATTGATAATATCAATTAATCGATTATCTGAAGAAAATTATGAAAGGTTTTTTTTTATATTTTTATTAATTTTGAAAATGGATTAGAATTTTTATTAATGAAAATTAATTTCTAATTTAGTAAAGATTAATTAATAGTTAATAATTAGTAATTGGTAATTAATTATTAATTATATATATATATATATATATACTGTTAATAGGATACGCGTACCTCTGGTTGGAAGACAGAGACACGGTGATGCAACAATTTTTGGAATACAGCCGTCAATTGACACTCGATGAGATGGAAATAATAGCAGCGTTAGATCCAAAATCACCGGAAAAATGTGCGCCAAAAATGGAAAATTTTCGAGAACAAATTGATCTTTATGAGGGACTTTATCTTGAAATTGAAGAAATGGAACCTTTTAAAGTATTTTGTGGATGGTTTCGAGTTGATTTGAAACCATTTAAACAATCATTGCTTAATACTGTTTGTAAATGGTCAAGTATGTTTAAAAAACATTTGGTTGAAAGAGTAACAACAAGTTTAGCTGATTTAGGCAACTTTATCAGGTATTTCTTTTTTTAAAATAATATAATTATTTTTACTACTGTTAATTATATTTGAAAAAGTATATATGACTGTTCGTTAATTTAATTATGAATTCATTTATTTCGTTATGTCCGAGTGAAATTAATTTTTACTACTTAAATAAATTACATTTCGTCTAACTAAAAGTGACTTGTACTACTGATAAAAAAAAATGAGTAGCCTTTTTTTCACTTACAAATAACAGAAAAAAAATAAATTTATTTTTAGATTGGCTGATGAGGGAATATTGCAACAAATTCAACCGGGTGATTATTCAGGTCTAGTCAGTGTAATGGGTTATTTAATGCAAGTAAAAGAACGTCAACCAACAACCGATGAAATGTTTCAACCACTTCAAGAAACTGTGGAACTTTTAAAATTTTACGATCAAGATATTCCCGAAGAAGTTAATGTTCTACTTCAGGAATTGCCGGATCAATGGGCTAATACTAAAAAATTGGCTCAAATGGTGAAACAACAAGTTGCTCCCCTTCAAGCTGGTATTTTTTAAAACAAAATTTTTATATTATTTACAAAATTTTATTTTTTTTTTTATTACAAATTGTAATTTGATTAATTAAAATATTTTTTTATAATAATAAAAACACATTTTTTTTGTTGTTGTTTTGTTTACTAAATAAAATTTTTTTAGGTGAGGTATCAAGAATTCGTGGACGTGTATCGGCTTTTGATACAACAATTGTCCATTATCGTGAGGCATTTCGTCGCTATGGTTTTTTTAAATTTACATGTGAAAATCCTTATGAACAATTGGACGAAGCCGATAAGGAAATATGTATGCTCGAACGACAAATGAATGATATACAAGAATCGGCATCACTTTTTGAAGTGACTGTATCTGAATTTAAACATCTTAAGCAATGTAGACGAGAATTGAAAATGTTGAAGCAGCTATGGGATTACGTGAATATTGTAAGAAGCAGCATTGAGGGCTGGAAAACGACGCCTTGGAGGAAAATAGACGTGGAGAATATGGATATTGAGTGTAAAAAATTTGCCAAAGAAATTCGAGGTAGGAATTTTTTTTTTTTTTTTTGAGGTGGGAATTAAATTTTCAATTAGATAATTTAAATAAGTAATTTATTTTTTTATTGTTTTTTCTTTTTTTTCTTCTTTTTTCAGTTTCTTTGGACAAGGAAATGAGACCTTGGGACACTTATATATCGTTGGAAGCGACTGTGAAAAATATGCTGACATCATTAAGAGCAGTTGGTGAGTTACAAAATCCGGCCATCAGAGAAAGACATTGGAGACAATTGATGAACAGTACAAAGGTACCTATAAATTCAAAAATCATCATCATCATCCCCAATCATATTCGATGGGAGTAGAAATTCTCATTTAATTCACTAGAAAATCATTTTATTCATATCTGTGTTTATAATTTATTGCCAAAATTTAAATCGATTTATTATTTATTCCCAAATTTTCATTTGTTTATTATTTGCCCAAATTTTATAATTTACTCAAATTTTCAATATTGTTTATTATTCCCAAATTTTCAATATTGTTTATTATTTATTCCCGAATTTCCATTTGTTTATTTTTTGCCCAAATTTTATAATTTACTCAAATTTTCAATATTGTTTATTATTTACCCAAATTTCCATTTGTTTATTATTTACCCAAATTTTCGATATTGTTTATTATTTACCCAAATTACCATTTGTTTATTATTTGCCCAAATTTTATAATTTACTTAAATTTTCAATATTGTTTATTATTTACCCAAATTTCCATTTGTTTATTATTTGCCCAAATTTTATAATTTACTTAAATTTTCAATATTGTTTATTATTTACCCAAATTTCCATTTGTTTATTATTTGCCCAAATTTTATAATTTACTCAAATTTTCAATATTGTTTATTATTTACCCAAATTTCCATTTGTTTATTATTTACCCAAATTTTCGATATTGTTTATTATTTACCCAAATTTCCATTTGTTTATTATTTGCCCAAATTTTATAATTTACTTAAATTTTCAATATTGTTTATTATTTACCCAAATTTCCATTTGTTTATTATTTGCCCAAATTTTATAATTTACTTAAATTTTCAATATTGTTTATTATTTACCAAAATTTTCATTCGTTTATAATTTTCCCAAATTTTCAATTGTTTATTATTTGCCCAAATTTAAAAATTGTTTATAATTTGTGCAAAATTTTAATATTCATTTCAATGTTAATTGTTTGCATCAATTTTAAGATATATATATATGTTAAATGTTTGTGTAAATTTTAATTATTTGTTGTATATATATGTGGATTTTTTTTTTTTGACGAAATCGATTTTAAGGCTATAAAAATCCCAGGAAATAATCATCGTTGGTATATATAAAAAATTTCAGTAAAAAAAAAAAAAAATTGGAAACTAACGATTTTGTTACCTAGTGGAAATTTTTTTTTTTTTTTTTTTATGATAGTAATAATTATAATAGTTGTTAGCTGCACTGCTGTAAATATACGCTATCGATGTTCCAGAAATTGGGCAACATGACTCCAGAAATGACCGTAAGTCCACTGTAAATAATTCGCACGATAAATGATTCATTAAATATTAGTTTTTTTTATAATCATTTCCATTTTCTATTAAAAAAAAATAATTTATATACCATTGTATCAATTTTTGCAATAAAATCACCTTTCATGAAAAAAAACAACATTGCATTACATCATTTGAATGATTTCATTCACCCTTCAATCACGCTTTATTTTTATAAATAAATGCACATTAATTGTATCCTTTTTATATTCTTCATCTATATAAAATAGTGAATATTGTATTTTTATATCTTTATATCATCTTTAATCTAAAATTCTTCTATTTTTAGAATTTCTATTTTCATACTTTTGTCTTTTTTATATCCTATTGTATTAGTTCTATTCTATTTCTTGAGCATAGTTTATCATTTAATTATTATTATTATTATTATTATCTTTATTGCATAAAAGAATTATAATAAGTAGGTTTTCAATTTCTATATCACTTCAAAAATTTTTTAGTATCACTAAATTTATTATCAAATAAAGTTATTAATTTTTCCTTTATAATAATTTTTTTAGTGAATATTATTATTATATATATATATTTTTTTTAAATTTTAATGAACTCTTTTTTTTTATAATTTTAATATAGAAAATTATTTATTTTTTTGTTGAACTCATATAATATTGAATGAATTAGGTTCAATTTGTAATGGATGAATCGACAACATTAGCGGATCTTTTGGAATTAAATTTACACGAGTGTGAAGAAGAAGTGAAAAATATTGTTGACAAAGCTGTCAAGGAAATGTCAATGGAAAAATATTTAAGGGAATTAAAAGTTACATGGTCGGGAATGGAATTTGAGAGGGAAACACACGTTAGAACAGGAGCAACATTATTGAGAGCTAGTGAGGAACTTATTGAAACTTTAGAGGAAAATCAGGTAAGTTTTTTATTTTCTATTTTTTAATATCCTTTAAAAAAAATATATTATTATTTTAATCTATTTTTCATATTTTTTTTAAAAAAAATTACATATTATTAATTTTACATAAATTTTTTTTCAATTTTTAAAAATTTATTGTAATTGTGTAATATTATAATTAATTATTTTACACGTCGGGACATTCATCGGGTCTAATGCAATTACCATCTAAAATATTTCTTAAATAACCTTGAGAACAAATGCAACGTTGAACAAAAACCTAAAAATAATTTATTACTATTATTTTTTTTTTCCTATAAAAAAAAATAAATTTAATCAAATTAATTGTAATTTAAAATTATATTAAACAATAGCAATTTAGAATAATATTTTTTAAATTAAAAATAATAATTTGTAAATATTTTTGAGTATAAATTTCTTTTTATTTTTTATTAAATTACCAATGGGCAAATATTTGGTTCAGCTTTTCCATGATAAATATCACATGTAACATCGCAAATTGGATGTTGACCATATTCTGAATATATTTCATGTGGATCCAAACACTTTCCATGTTCTGTTAGAATTTCCGTATCTATTAAATTTAATACGTCACATTTATAATTATTTTGAAATATCAAATTTAATAATAATAATTTTAAGATAATAATTATCACTTACTTCCCATTATTTTTGTCAAAAGAAAACAAAAATAAAGTTCAACAATCATATTTTCACTTGTAATTTATATAATTAGTTTCAAACTGATGAAGTTTCGTTATCAAAATAGAATTTTACACTACTGAATAATAACTGAATTTTTTACTGTGATAAAGGAAAAAATAATTGAATTTTTAAATGAAATTACACATTACATAAATATTTATTTGATAAATAAATTTAAATAAAATTATTTAATAAAATAATTTTTAATAATTGATTAATTGTTTATTTTGGACATTTCGAGATAAGGATACATTTTCCTTCGGGTCTTATTCTTAAATATCCTTTTTTACAAATGCAATTTATACTTATTTTCTGGAAAAAAAATTTCGAATTTCATTAATTAATTTAATTAATTAATATTAATGTGCAAAATTTTTAATTACCAAATCACAGGGTTTAAAAATTTCTGTCCCAAAATAATAGCCACATGTCATTTGACAAGTGGAATCCCATGCGTATGGAGAAACTATTTCATTAGGATCCTTGCAAATAACTGCAAAAATTTTTTTTTTAATAAAAAATTTACTCACAATTTTAAATATATTTAATTATTTTTTTTTTTTTTTTACTTGCTACTGTCGTTGTGAAAAATAAACAAAGAATAAAAATCATATTAATAATAAGTTAGTTTGTAAAAGCGTAACTTGTTTTTAGTTCGATTGATAATTCGTTTTGATTAAAATTTAATTTTATAAAGTCGTAATAAAAAAAATAGTCATAATAATTTTATGTCTTAATAATGAAATTATTAACGGTACAAGTGTATTTGAGAAACATTTTTAATTGAATCAAATTATGAAAAATATTATACAACAAATTTTACTTGAAAACATTCGTTATTAGAGATTTATTTTTCTTTTTGTAAAATAATTTTTAAATTTAATCATTGAAAATAATAATTAATTAAATTTTTCTTTTAAACAATTATTTGATTAAATTTTTATTTAGTAAATTATTATAATTACATATAAATATAATGTAGAAAAGAATAAAATATTTTATAAATGAAAATCAATTTTATTGATACTAAGAGACCTTGAGAAAAAACAAACACATTTACTTTTTTGCATAATAGCTACGGGAGTTTACAATATTGCGTAATTTTATAAAAGAAAAAGTCTGAAGTATAACAAGAAGATAATAATTTTCTGGAACTGTCAATAAATATAGATAACTAGACTTAATGTCTTTTAAATTAAACGAACTACAATTGAATTACAATTATGAATTGATTAGTAAAAATATTGTAACTAGTAAAAATATTATTTATTTAAATAAATAAATAATTAAATATAACGTGAAAATAAATAAAAAAAAATTTATTAAAAGTAAATGTAAAGTGACATTTTTATTTTTCTGAATTTTAAAAATTTATGATTTTTAGTTTTTGCGGAAAAAGGTATAATAATGTTTTAATTTATATATACATATATATAGTATATGAAAGATTATTTAAACAATAAACATCAGAGATAATATTTTAACTATATAGCCTTAAGTTGCATAAATTTAATGGCAAATAATACTTTGTTTGTACAATGAGATATACTGTTAAATATACCATCTGCTTGTAATATGAGAAATAATTACAAATAATATTGTATTTTCCTTGTTTTTTTTTTACTGCGAATTTAAGGAAAATAAAAATTCCGCGATATCAGAAATTTTTTTATCAAACACACTTTCTTTTGTTTCAAAATGTTTTTGTTTCAAAGAAAGCACATTTTGAAATATTGGAAAAATAAAATTATTTTAAAAATTATAAAATATTCAATTTTTGGTGGTTTTATTTTGAAAAATTATATTTTACATTCAGAAATTAAAACACATTGACGAGTGACGTCATGTATGACGTGTCCTTTGTTACAAGTACAGCCCACCATACAGACCTATTAAAAAAAAAAAAAAAATGTAGATGAAAAAAAGTGATATTAGAAAAATTTCATTTTTGTTTTTATTTTAATAATAATTATTATTTTAATTAAAGCTAATGCATTAACTTACCGCAGGACAAACACTTCTAATGTCATTAAAATTACTACAAGTTGTTAGACAGGGTGATCTACACTCAGACCAAAATGAATTAAGGGGGGAACACCAGTTGTAACTTTCGAAAAATCGAATTTTTTTTTTGTGCATTTTCTTAAAGTATACATATTTAGAAATGTGTCTGTAAATTTCAAAGTTGATCCGGTGAAAAATAAATGAGATATACAGAACACTGCAGCGGCGCGTCCCGTGGCTTTATACAAGGTGGCCAGCCATACCTGACCCTAACGACACATGGCCTTTTCCTATGATTTAGAAACGGCAACCACTGCGGAAGAGTTATTATATGGTCCAGGAATCGATGACTCTTTGTAACTTGGAAACAAAATTTCTCCTGAACAAAAAAAAGTAAGTTGAAACTTTGAATGCGTTTTTCTCAAAATGACATTTTCCAAGTCGGTGACCACGATTACTCGAATACCATTAAACCGATTTATTTAAAATTTAGTGTGCTTCATTTACACATATAAGTCTAGTTCGTGATCGAAGGATTTTTTTTTTTATGCAAAACTTTTTTTTATATAGCTGAAAATCGACCGTATTTTTTTAACGAAAATCATACTTTTGACTTTGACAGGTCGCCAATTTGTCAAATTTTTTTTTTTTTTTAAATCCTTCGATCACGAACTAGATAATCTTATAATAAATGTAAATCAATTTCATTTTTGTATTTCAGACGAAGTATACTTGCAGAATGCTGGTCACCGCAATTCGCCTTTTTTCTTAAGGCGCCACTTCAATGGCTCATATCTCCAAAAGTTTTTGTTAAAAAAATTTTTTTTTTCTTTTAAATTACAGCTTTTTACATGTACTTTTAACTAATAAATAGTATTCTTTAAAAAGATTCATTGTTCTTTTGGAAAATATTCTTGTATAAAGCATTATTTTTTGAGTTACAACTGGTGTTCCCCCCTTAACACCACATTCTCCTCTCATTATTGGCGGACCTAACATTATGTCTGGAAAAAAATATTTTTTTTTTTTTAAGTTTTAACCAAATTAGTTTTTAAATATTCAAAAACACTTGTATAAATTATTTATTTATTTAATATAGACTAGTAATTAAATAATAAATTTTGGGAAAAAAAAGGAAAGGAAATTCAAAAAGAATTTTAGGCAAAAATTACTTACTTCTTGATGCTACCACTGCAATAAGAATTAAAAAAATAAAAATCGAATAATAAGACATTTTGCTACTGTAATTCTGCATTGAGTTTAAGAAATATTCTGTTTTAATTTAAATACAAGTCAGGTTTTATATATATGCCTCGTATCGATGAATTATATTTTTAAATGATAGAGGAATCCCCGTACATTAAAATTCTCAATACACATTAAGGGGACTTTCTGGTTTAGAATTTCAAAAAAATCGATTTTTTTTTTTTTGCTTAAAAATGTTCCATAGTATCATAGAATTACTGTCCCAAAACGTTTTTTAAAAAATATGTACAAAAACAAAAGTTATAACAATATTTATGACGGTATGTATTTCAACAACAATCTACAGTTATCTTATTTACATATTTGGTGTTCCTCTTTTATTGATATTAGCTTAAAACTTGCTACTCAAGGGTTTTTGGGGTCGCTGATTACGAATTTGATGTCAGTTTTTGAAAATACAAAATGGCGGATCCAATATGGCGGACGAAAAAATAAAAATTCAAGCGGATTTGCTTAAAACTTGTTACTCGGGGGTTTTTGCGGTAGCTGATTACGAATTTGATGTCAGTTTTTGAAAATACAAAATGGCGGATCTAATATGGCGGACAAAGATTAAGAAATTAATTAAATTTAGTTGAAAATGGTTACTTGTGGCCTTTTGAGATTGCTAGTTATGAATATAGGCACAAAACATTAACGTTCTAGGAACGTTTTAATTAATTAAAAAAGTTAATTTTTTATTTTTTGTCCGCCATTTTGAATTTTCAAAAACTGACATCAAATTCATAATCAGCGACCCAAAAACCCCCGAGTAACAAGTTTTAAGCAAATTCGGTTGATTTTTTATTTTTTCGTCCGCCATATTGGATCCGCCATTTTGAATTTTCAAAAACGGACATCAAATTCGTAATCAGCGACCCCAAAAACCCCCGAGTATCAAGTTTTAAGCAAATCCGGTTGAATTTTTATTTTTTCGTCCGCCATATTGGATCCGCCATTTTGAATTTTCCAAAACGGACATCAAATTCGTAATCAGCGACCCTAAAAACAGCGGGATACGAAGTTCTGTTGTAATAAAAAGTTGTTTGATATTCATGACTCAATGAACTATGTTATGAAAACTTTGAACGCGTTTTTTTCGAAAACTCATTTTTCAAACTGGTACAGAGCTTTTCTCGAAATCTACCGAACCGATTTTGAAATCCCAAAAATTTTTCGATTCTTTATTTAAAAAACTGGGGCCTAAACCTCTAAAAACTCATATTTCTACCCCCTGTGTTTTTATATGGAGGTAAATTGACCCAAAAACACGGCGTTTTTGCGAGTTTTTGAGAAAAATGTACATAAAAAATAAAAAAACCTTTAAAAAAAATCGTTTATGAGGTTTAGGCCCCAGAATAAATCCTTATGAAGAGATTCCCGTTTGGAACTTGAATTTATGTATTACAGGTTGCCCGGAAACTAACGTACCAAAAAAAAGGTATCTTTTGGAAGACGCCACCTACAGCTATGAAATTGAACTAAATACACTCAAACATATTTTTTAAATTTTCTCTACGCAATGTGCTACAATGTCCAAAAATAGTTTTTACAATTTCTTTAATACTGTTCTTACAATAAAAGTTTTAAAACCTTCCTTTTTTGTCAATTCTAAACCAGAAAGTCCCCTTAATGAATGTGTCATTCAATTTTTTTTTCGATTTTTCTTATTCAATTGCAAAATGATTTTTTATTGTAATAAAAAAGAAAAAGCGATTTAATTTAAAAAAAACGGCAATTTTCTTCTAATTACACTTTTTTATTTTCCTGTCAACTTATATTAAATAAATAAAGAATAATGAGAAGTATAGGAAAATTAAAATAATTTGGAACGAGAAAAAATAATATGATTTTTGAATTTATTTCAAACATTTAATTATTAATACAAATTACGTATTTAGTAAGAAATGTTTAGTGAACAATATTTTTTCCAATTTAAAAGAAAAATAATACATTTTTGAGGAATTTTAAGGATTAACAGTCACGTTACAGTCCCTTCGTAATACACAAAGTCCTCCTTGTCCAAAATATCCTCGATTGCACATACAACCTTCAATGCAATCCTGTTGGATAAAAAAATAATATATAAATAATAATTTATTATTTAAATTATTTCAATATTAAATTATTATTTAATATTTTAAAAAATAATAATTTATAACTAATTAACAAATTTTCATAATTATTTTTTAAAAATACATTGATTTTGATTTTTGTAACATTTTGATAATATTTAAAATTAATTTACCCCTGGACAAAAATGAGGTGGATCATTTAACATAGCACATGAGTAAGGGCATCTTCTGTGACAGTAACTCCATGTTGCATTTAGTCCACAATCTTTTGGAGGAGTTAGAGTTGTTTGACTATCTGAATTTTTTTTTTTTTTCTATATTTTAATATGAATTCGTAATTTTTTTTTACAGAATTATTTAATTTTTAAAATTTATTCACATAAATTTATTTTTATTTTGTTAAATTAAAAAAAAAATTATACTAAAATTAACATAAGTTATTTTACTTTCAAGATTTAGAACCGTGTTATGGTTAAAAAGGATCACTTTACTCCCGTGGGTTAAAAAGATTTAATATTAATTAAATAATATAATATAATATATTAATAATAGGTATATAATATTAATATAATATTAATTTTATATAATTTTAATATTATTAATAATATAATATTATATTATGTTTAATATTATATTCCTTTAATAAAATTTAGATTTGAATTTTATTTACTATTTTATTTTTGTTTTATTTATTTACAAATTTATTTAATTGTACGAAAATTTTAGTTATTGAAGAAAAAAATAATATACTCACTAACTGATATTACGAATATGAGTGAAACAATAATTATTACAAGAGTCATTCTAAACCATTTGAAGTCTTGTATTCAACTAAAATTTATTTTGCAATTGAAACGCTTTTTATATATAGATTATTATAGCATGTTGTTTAAAAATAAAATTTATAATTTCCTGTAAATATAGATTATATGTACATTGTCTTACAAAAGTTTTTTCAATATATATACTTTTGAAAAAAGAAAAATTAACGTGAAATTGTGAAAGGTAATGAACTAATCTCATTAAATGCGAAAAAGAATTTATTTATGGTTTTTGATAAGAAAAAAAAAAAATTTTAAGACAATACAATAATAATATTTCTTCATTATATTTGTTGGAAATAAATTATCAGTCTCGTTCTTATAGACCACATTCATGTGGTGGAATACATTCCACGCTTTCTATTGATCTCTTAACAAAACCTTCTTGACATACACAGCCTCTGTAACATTGCTGAAAAAAAAAAATTAGAAATATGAAAAACAATTTTTTTTGAATTGATATTTTTTTTTTAGCGAGGCTAAAAAATTGATTATTACTTACTCCAGTACAAAATTTGGTTTCTACTGCATTTCTGATAGATTCACAAGTTTTCGGGCATACTCTTGAACATGCAACCCAAACTGCATTTGGTCCACAATCACGAATTGGTTGTGGTGGCCTTCTTGTAGTTCCTTTTTCAATAAATTCACAATTTAAATAATTTTAACAAAAATAAATAATTTACAATTTACAAATTTTAATAAAATATTTAATTTAATAAGATGAACAAAAAAAAGAGAAAAATTCAAATATTAGACTTACTTGCTGAAACAGCAGCTACTATCAACAAAAGAATAATGATTCGAGACATTTTGTATAAAATTTTCTTTCAAGTTCAAAAAAGCAACTAGCAATATATTTCGAAAGCAATGAACTTTTATACGATTGATTCTTCCTTTTAAATTTCTTTATAAAATTATTACAAGTTTATATATGTGTGCAATGGTTACACAATTGAACAGGAAATATTCTCTGTGAATCCCGCGCGTATCAGTTTATTAAGATAAAAAAAATAAAAGGCGCTAATGAATAATTTATATTTATTCATTCAACAGTATTATAATTTATAAATTTCGAAACAAATAAAAAAAACAAAAATTAAACAATGACATAAAATGTATTTTAATTATCAGGAAAAAAAAGAGTGATAAACATTTATGAATTTGTTAATAATTTTTATTCTACAGTCAGGGTATTTAAAATAAAAAAAATTATTTACCAGGATTTGCATAGGGACAGTCTTTTTCCAACATGCAATTTGGATTTCTTCCCGATATTCTTATATAACCAGGATTACATCTGCAGCCCATTATACAGTCCTATTTTAAAAAAAAAATTTAATTAACAACAAAACTTTGAATTCATGTGAGAAATCTAAATATTAACCTTTCTTCATTGTTTAAATTGATTTTTTGCTTCAAAAAAAAAAAAGGTATAGAAAAACAATATTTATTTTGGAATAAATAAAAAATTTAATGAAATATTTGTTTTAACCAGTAAAAGTTATATATAGGTAATTTAGGGAAAATTTTTACTGATTCAATAATTTCAAAATAAAAAAAAATATTTCTTAACGTACCGCAGCACACATCATAGGATTAGGATTTCTTAAACCTTCACAACTTCTTGGACAACGTGAAGCACAATTACTCCACATTGCATTTTGTCCACAAGGTTGTGGTGGTTGAGCATTTATTGTGCCTATAGGAAAATATAAAATTATGTTTCTTTTTTACAATTAAACCATTTTTTTTTAGTTTAATTAAATTAATGTATTAATATATATAATTTGTTTAGGGTATTTTATTATTTTTATTTATTTAATTTCATATTTTTACTTATTTATTTTATTATTAGAAAATTTTGTTTATTTTTATGAAAAATAAAAAAATAGGCTTGGGAAAAAAATAATTTTTAATTAAACAAATCATTTCTTTTTATGAGATTAGAGAGGCAATACTGTATAAGCTAGATATTTAATTAAAATAAAGTAGTAATTTGACTTTAGCGACAAATTGACAATCGTTAATTAGAATAAAATAGAAAAAAAAACCACTTAATAACATTAAATTCATTAAATAGTGTAAATAAAAGGTGATAAAAATAATTAATGAGAAAAGTTATCTTCTTATCTATATAAGTATATTTACCACCTTTTATGTACAAACTATTAACATTTTTTTATTATTATTATTATTATTTCTTATTTATTTTTTTTATGTAATGTTGTTATTTTATGTGTGGAATAAAAAACAATATTTTTCGCAAAAAAATAATTAAAAGTAACAAAACATTAAATCAGTGTGAAATTTAGAAAAACATAAAATAATATACTTACTTGCAGATGCAACCAATACAATGAATAAAGTAATGGCAAAGAATGACATTTTTGCGTTATGATACTTGAATGTTTGAAAAGCAACTAACAAATTCTTGAAGTTAAATTGATTTTTTATACAGCGTGCTTGATGTTTGCTTTTTTTATGACAAAACAACAAGAAAACAGTTAAATTGATAAAAAGAAAAAAAAAACAAGGAAAAAATTTGCTGATAACTCATACCTACTTAATTGGTATTTATTAGTTAAAAGGTGGGGTTTTTTTTTTTTTTTGACATAACATTTAAATTTCTTTCACTTACAATAATTATTCACTTAAAATTATATCTAAAATTTAATTAATTTTTCATTTCTCTTATTTATTTGATAAATTATTTATTATTCACATAAATTTACATATAGGTATAATTGTTTATATTACATAAATTTAAAAAATAAAATTTACATGTGTTGAAAAAAAAAATTTTTTTTTCATTCTTTTTTATTTCATTGTAAATAAAATATTTAATAATAAAAAACAATATATTCTTTAAATTATTTGATCATTAATTTGGACAATCTTTCACTCGTATACAAGTATCATTGGTTCGTGATGCTTGAATATAATTGAATGTACAGAAACAGCCAGTTCTACAAACCTGTTTAACAAAAAAAAGTAAATTTTTTTATTAAAAATTTTTAATTTTATTTTTTTATTAATACACGTAAATAATTTTTTTTTTTTTAATTATTTTTTAACATACCGCAGGACAAAATCTGGGACGTGGTAAATTTCGAGTCTCGCATGTTCTTGGTGGGCAACCTGAACCACATTCAACCCATATTTGATTTTCTCCACACAGTTGAGCATTTATTGTAGCTATATGCGTGAAAAAATTGATAAAATAATTTTTTAATTGAGAAAAAATAAGAAACAAAAAATAATATAATATATTAATACTTACTTTCAGATGCAACCAAAACAATAAATAAAATAATAAAAGAGGGTGACATTTTTATTTTTTTTTCAAAAATGATTTTGTCGTAATGATTGAAAGTTTCAAATGCAACTGACAATTTTTACCTAGAAATCGATTTTTATACATTTCTTGCTGTTTATTTTTTCTCACTAAACAACAGCTTCTTACAGTTACACATTATAATGATAAGAAGAAAAAGAGTGACAAACAGGAAATATTTAGCGGGGATTTTTTTTTTATTTGTATTTCGACAATAAATTTACTGTAAATGGAAAATTTAGTTATTGTACAAATATGCAAAAAAAAAAAAAAATATATGCAAATTTTTTTTTTTTGCTTTTATCTACAATTTCTTTCTTCAACACACTGTTCGTCAGTTTTTGATTTTCTAACAAAACCCCGTGGACACTCACAACCCGGTACACATTCCTGTTGACAAAAAAAAAAAAAAAATTTGAAATTTCGATTAAAATGAGACAGAAAAAAATTATTAATTTGAATTTTTGATTAAAATAAGGTATAGAAAAAAAAATTATTAAATTAATGAAAATTAAAAACAATGTAACCTACCTTTGTGCATACAATTCGAGATGGATTTCTTAAAGTGTCACAATTTTTCTGACACTGTAAACGTTTGCCACATTCATTCCACACTTCATCTGGTGCACAACGTCCACCTGCTTCAACATTTATTGTAGCTAAAAAAAAAGAAAAAAAAAAAATTATATATTTTTAATTAAAAAAAAAAAGTTTTGAAAACAAATTTTATTAATTTGAAATTAATAATTATTTAATAAATAATAAATAATTATTGATCGTTTAATTTATTTATGGCTTCTGTAGAAATTAGTGCCAATCGGGAATCCCTGAACTTACTTGAAAATACAAACAATACAATAAAAACAGTAATAACGAACGGTGACATTTTTATCATAATTCTTAGAAGCATTAAATGCAACTAACAATATAGAATTTAAAACGTTCTTTATACAGTAAATGCTATTTTCTTTTTTGTTGTATAATACTTTTTTTTTTACATTTACTCGTAAATAATAAAGGGAAAAATGAAAATAAATAAGGAAAATTTTGCTGAATAATTTATTTGTCATTTCAGTTAAAACATTTGATGGATTTCATTTTATTATTTTAATAAAAAAAAAAATAATAATAATAATTTTTATAATATCGCATTAGAGAATAATTCCAAGCAACATGTAAAATAAACATTGATTTTATAACAAAATTTATAACATAATTTATCTTTTGTTGCAAAAAAAATAAAAAATAAATTTTTTTAACATTCTTCTTCACGTACACAATGTCGAACTCTTCGAGATAATCTAATGTAACCAGGACGGCATTTGCAACGTGTTATACAAGACTGTGAACAAGAAAAATAGTTTTTGCATATTTAAAATTTTAAAGATTTTTCCTTTTTTTTTAATATAATGGGAAATTTTTTAATAAAAATGAATTTTTTTTATCAGTGAAAAATTAACTTACTCCAGTGCATCTAATAAGATCTGGATTTCTTATATTCTCGCATGTTTTTAAACATGGATCACATTCACCCCACACTTCATTTGGTCCACAAATTTGGGCTTCTATTGTAGCTATACGAGAAAAAACAAACGAAAATTTAAATTTAAATTTATTCATATAATATTTCCAAGGGGGCTGTGTATATTTTATATAAAATTATAACTCACCTATAGATGCAATGAAGACAATGAATAAAGTAATAAAAAATGTTGACATTTTGTTGTAATTCTTAAAAATTTCAAATGGAACTGTCAATTTTCGAATTTGATGCAATTTTTATACAATTTTTTTTTTTTTTTTTGCTGTTTATTTAAAAAGAAAAAAAAAGAAAACAAGGAAAGATTTGCGATAATTTCTTTTATTTAGACAATAAATAATCTGACTTGTACCAAATTTGAAATTTAATTTTTTGTTTCAAAAAAATTTTCTTTTTTGCAATATTATTGTAAATTATTATTAATTATTTTATTTTTTATTTTTATATGTTTTTAAATAATAATTAATTATTTTTTTTGTTAATTTTGTGTATGAATAATTTCCATTCTTTCATTATAATCGAACTTATCTTTCATCTATATATGTATATAGAAGGAAAATTTCCAAACTGGTTTTTTAGCAATTTTTTTTATTCAACCATATTGTTACTCTTTCCATTATTTGTTGATATATATATATTTTTTTTAATAATTCAGCAATTTCTTATCAATACACAATTATGATTAGTTTGAGATATTCTAACGTAATCTTGTAAACATCTGCAGCCTCTAACACAGCCCTGTCGACATAAAAATAATATTTTTTGGTCTCTAAATTAAAAAAAAGAAAAAAAATATTTTTACACCGAAAAAAATAAAATCTCCAAATGAGAAGAAAATTCCGCTCATAAATTACTTTTACATTTTATTTTCAATATACGAATATTCATCTACAAAAAGGAGGTTTTTTCTTCTTTATTTGAGAATATTTTTATTAAATGATAACTTTTAATATTTTCTCTTTGATTGAATTTATTCATTTGCATTTAAGATTTTTTTTCTATAATTGAAATTATTCCTCTCAAAATGAAACAAATTTATGCTGTAAAAAAGATTTTTATAGTTTCATTTTATTTTGTTGCGCGCATCTTCAAACTGTTTGAAAAGTGACAGTTCAAAATAAAATGGACAACGAGCTGAAAAATCTGTTATCTGAAATTGGACTTTCTACATTAATTATTTAATTAACAAATTTTTCACTGAAAATTAAGGTTTTAATGTATAAAAAATTATTTCTATTCATATTAAAAACTGTGATAAATTTATTATAATTTATCAACAATGCGATCTGTTTAACCCCTATTTTTTCTAGGGTTAGAATTTAATAATATTCAAATCAGAATTGATTATTTCATCAATTTAACCTCTACACTATTTTAAAAATATATTTACTTTGATTTAAATAATCCATTAACTTTTTTTCACTTGAATACTGAGCACTTTATTTTAAAATGAACAAAAACTAAAAACATTTTTAACAACCTGAAAATCTTTGGTACTTTATTGTATAAAAACTCAGCTCGTGTTTTCGCCGTCTATATTTTTTCTCCAAAAATGGTTCCTTTCATTATAAATTACTTAATCCGAGTAATAACGAGTAAATTAAATCATAAATTTCTTTTAACCCTGTAAAGAAGGTTGACATTTCTGAATTTGACGTAAGTTTGAAACAAGATGAATAAATCTTTATTTGAAATTATTCCTCTCAAAATATAAAAGAGGAAAATCCTCTCAATTAGATATGAAAACTTTAGTGCCCATATATAAAAGGAAAAGTTGCTGCAAAAGAAGAGGAATCCTGTAAATTTGAGAACTTTTTTTTTTCGGTGTAAACATAAATAAATTTAATTCGAAAAAAATTTATATATTACTAGAGGACAAGAAGTGATGTTTGAATCTTTTATATCTTCACAACTTTTCGGACAAAGTGAACCACACTCAGTCCATATTGAATTTTCTCCACATTGTTGAGAATTTATAGTTTCTGTCCAAAAAAAAAAAATGTTATCAATATTTTTAAATAAATAAATTGCGTTTTGTATTATTTCCACAGATTTTATTTTATTTTCTTTATATTTTATTTTATTTATTGTGCCAAAATTATAAATAACTTACTTGCAAATGCAAACAGTACAATGAATAAAGTAATAAAGAATAATGACATTTTGTCGTTATTTTTTCAATTAAACAACAACTGATATTGAATCGTCTTTTATACAATGTATAACGTACAATAATTTTTTTTTATTTATAAAATTATTGAGGAAAAATGAGGAAAAATTTCGCTGGTAAATATTTGCAAAGTTTCTTTATTTTTTATTAATAAAAAATTTACAAATTTTTTATTTTACAATAGAAGAATAATAATTTTCAATTTATTATTTATTTCCAAACATAAATATGAATTTAATTAATTAATTCAGTTAAAATTATTAAAAATAGCTGATATGCTATAAAAATTGAAAAATTCAATTAAAATTATTAATTATTAACTTAACAGTCTCTTTCTGATACACATCGTCTATTATGCTCTGATATTCTAACGTAACCTTGTCGACATACACAACCAGCTACACATTCCTGTTGACAGAAAATTATAATATCAAAAAATTATTTCCTTAATATTGGAGAAAAAAAAAGTGTAAGAAAATTTAGAAAAAAAAAAATAATAATAAACGTACCAAAGTGCAAAATCTTGTACGTGGATTTCTTACATCCTCACAAGTTTTTTGACAACGCAAAGGTTTACCACAAGTTGTCCAAACCTCATTTCCTCCACATTGAGCATTTATTGTTGCTATACAGACAATAATTATTATTTTAAAAACAAAGATTAATTAAAATTAATTATTATTAATTAATTATTATAAATTATAAAAATATTATGAAAGAATGAAAAATAACTTACTTGCAGATGCAAACAGTACAATGAGTAAAGTAATAAAAAAAGGTGACATTTTTTTTTGGAATTTTCAAAACCAACTAATTTTGATTCGAATTTGAAACGATTTTTATACAGTTCTCAATGTTTATATTTTTCTTGGACACATGTTTGACCAGAACATGAAGAGGAAAAAAAAAAGGGAAAAAACAATTTTTATTTCTTTATTTTTTATTATTCCAAACAATATTTATTTAGTATGGAATATTTATTATAATATTTATAATAATTGTATGGTATTTAAAATATTTGTTGAACGTAGGAAAACATTTTTGTTCTTTTATCAATATTTTATAAAGACAATTATTATTTTTTTTTTTTGAAATCAAACACAATTTTTTGGCTTTATATTGGGACAATCTTTTTCTGGAATGCAATTTGGATCTCTTAAATTTCTTCTAATGTAACCCGGAATACATACACAACCTTCGACACAAACCTGTTAACATAAGAACAAATTTTTAAAAATGAAAAATAAAACAAAATTCAGCGAATTAATTGATGCAAAATATTAAAAAAATAGTATTATTTGATTTAGTAGTTATATTATTTTTAACTAAATTTTTAGTTACAAAAACAAAAATGAATAAAAATTTGTTGAAACTTACCGGGGGACATACAATTGGATTTGGGTCAATTAAACCTTCACAATTTACAGGACAATATGAAGCACAACTATCCCAGACTGCATATCGTCCACATCGTGAATCATGTATTTCTCCTGGTTGAGCATTAATTGTTGCTATAGGAATAAAATTTTATTTTTTAAACGCATAAAAAAAGAAAAAAATTAATGAAAATTTTCTAAAGAAAAAAAATTAAATATATTTTATTTATAATAGTAACTTACTTGCGGATACAATTAACACAATGGAAAAATAAATAAAAAGAGGTGCCATTTAAACGAAATTTTTTCCCCAAATAAGAGTGACAATTCCCGAATAAAATCGAATTCTAAATTTTGCTTCTATTATACTTCGCAATATTATATACATACTGATAAGTGAGAGGAGAAACAAGGAAAAATTGTCGGATAATTTTCTATTGGTTTTTAACAAGATGAAACATTAAAGAGGGGAGAAAAAAAAGATTAATAAAAAAAGAGACGTTTGATATGGTAATTTATATTTATATTTATTGCTTTCTGTCTAATACAAAGATCATTGTAAATATAAATATATGTTTATTCTATCAATATTATCGAAAAACAAATTTTTAATTTTGAATTCAATAAGAAAATTTTGAAATTATAATTACATAAAATACAACTTTAATATGGAAAATATCGAAATATTTAATATTCATTTGAATTTATTAATTTTAGTTATACAGTAGCTAATTTTTAGAATCATTGTGCGAAAAAAAAATTATATAGAAAATAATATAAATTATTAATATATTTCTTTATTGTAATTGTATAATATTATAAAAGCAAATATAGTGTTTCAAATTGTGGAAAAAATGATTTTTAAATAATAATAATTATTATTATAAAAAGTATTCTTAAATTTATAGATGCATTAAATATTGAAAGAAAATAATTTATTTTAGCGATAATTTAATTTTTTTTTATGTGTGTATTTTAATTAAAAAGGAAGGGAAAACCTTTTTTACATTTTTTTCAATTTTATTAGATATATACAAATACAGTAAATTTTTTTTACTAAAAATCAAACATAAATTTTACATTAAAAAAATGTTTTTCTTCTAAATTACTCATCAGTTCGCTTTAAAAATGGACAATCTTCTTCTGGAATACAATTTGGATCTCTTAAATTTCTTCTAATGAAACCAGGAAGACATACACAACCTTTTATGCATACCTATTTTATAATTATAAATTAATTATTATTGTTTTTAATTAAATTCTAAATTGAAGGAAATTTTTTTTTTTATATTTTCATTTCAATTTAAAGATTATATAATATTTATAAACTTACCGCGGGACACATAATTGGATCTGGATCATTTAAACCTTCACAATTTGTAGGGCAATATGAAGCACAATCACTCCACACTGCAAATCGTCCACATCGTTGATTTTTTTTCGGACAATTTTCCTTCAAAACACATTCTCCACTAGTCTCAGATTTTCTTATGTAACCTTCCATACAATTACATCCAGGACGACATAACAACTATAGTAAATAAATTACATTTTAAAATAGTTAGTAAATTAGAACTATAGTAAATAAATTACATTTTAAAATAGTTAGTAAATTAGAACTATAGTAAATAAATTACATTTTTGAAAATAGTTAGTAAATTAGAATTTTTACAAATTACCTACCTTAAATGTTAACAAAAAAAAATTTCTATTTATTTTAGAAAGTTTGAAAAAATTTTCCTTTTAAAATAAATAAAATTATGTTGAAACTTACTGAATAGCATCTAATAGGATTTGGATTATTAATACTATCACAAGAAGGTGCGCAAGGTGATTGACAAAAACTCCATACAGCGTTTGGACCACAATCTCTGACTGGCATAACGTCACTCTGAGCGTTTATAACATCTATAATAATAATAAATAATATAATAATATAATAATATAATAATATAATATAATAATAATATAATAATAAATAATATAATAATAATAATTATTATTATTTTCATTCAATTTTTTTTATTTCAATTTTAAATAAAAATTGAAATAAAAAAAATTAAATGAAAATTTTGAAATAAAAAATAATAATAAAAATTAAATTATTTTAATTAAATTATTAATTTCTTTTCAAATAATTTTAAATATTTAATTTTTTAATTAATAATTCTAATGAAATAATGAAAATCTATTGTTTTGCAAAATATAATTATAGAAATATTTTCTCACTTGCTAAAACAAATGTTGCAATAAATAAACAAATGTTGAACATTGACATTTCTTTCAGTTTTTTTTTAATGCAACTCACAAAACGTTTAAATCAAATTTAGTTTTTATTCTGTGAAGCTTTTTATACATTTTTTGTTATCTCTTCATTTTATTTATAATTCTTTCGTCAAACTGTAAATAAAAAAAAAAAAAAAAAAATTCTTATGAATCACATGATTGTAATATTGCTATTGAGTCGGTTATAAAAAATATGATGTTTTTATATTTTTTGTTTATTAAGACATTATTTATTTTATACAAATTAAAATAAAAATTTCAAATTTTATAAACATATTTAATAATTATAATCTAATTGTTTGTAAATGTTAATAATTTATGTTTAATATGATTTTTGATGAATAATAATAAACATAAAAATTTATATTATATAATATAATAATTATTTATAATTTTTTTAATTCTTTAATATAAGTTTGAATAACAGATTTGAAAGAGATTTTTTTTTATCTTGGACAATTTCGAGGTAGGATACATTTTCCATTGATTTTATTTCTAACGTATCCCCAGATACATTGGCAACCTGGTGTACATTGCTGTATAAAAGTTCAAAAAACAAAAATTTAGTCTAATTTTTCTATCAGGCTCAAATATTAAATAAGTATAAAAAATAAATATTAAAAATAAACAAAAATTTAAAAAATAAAAATAATTTAAATTATTTTTATTTTTGAATTAATAATTAATAATTTTTTTTATATAATTAGACAAACCTAATTAAAATAATAAATATTTAGACGAGTATTTAGAAAATATTTTCTATATTAAAATTATATTTATGTAGATATAAAAAAACAGGGTTAAATCTACACGTATTTTTTTTTAACCCCTTGACAGTCCAGGGCCCATATGTGGCCAGAAAAAGTCGTGCCACCTTTGTGCAAGTGGCCATATATGGCCATCGCAAAAAAATAATACTAAATTTAATTTGATTCGCCTGAAATTTGTTACTCGGGGGTTTATGGGGTCGCTGAATCCAAATTTGAAGTCAGATTTCAAAAAAACAAAATGGCGGACCCAAAATGGCGACCATGAAAACTTAAAATTTATCAGATTTACATGAAACTCGTTGCTCAGGGGTTTTCGGGGTCTCTGATTACGAATCTGAGGTCGGTTTTTCAAAATTCAAAATGGCGGATCCAATATGGCGGATAATTTAAAAATTAATGCGTTTTGACCACAAATTGTTACTCGGGGGTTTTCGTAGTCGCTGAATTCGAATTTGAGGTCAGTTTTTTAAAATTCAAAATGGCGGATCCAATATGGCGGACAAATTTTTAAAAAATCAAACCGATTTGCCTGAAATTTGTTACTCGGGGGTTTTTGGGATCGCTGAATTCGAATTTGAGGTCGGTTTTTTGAAATTCAAAATAGAGGATCCAATATGGCGGACAAATTTAAAAAAAAATTTTTTTTTTAAATTTGTCCGCTATACTGGATCTGCCATTTTGAATTTTGAAAAACTGACTTCAAATTCGAATTCAGCGACCACAAAAACCCCTGAGTAACAAATTTCAGGCAAATCGGTTTGATTTTTTAAAAATTTGTCCGCCATATTGGATCCGCCATTTTGAATTTTGAAAAACTGACCTCAAATTTGAATTTAGCGACCCCAAAAACCCCCGAGTAAAAAATTTCAGTCAAATCGGATTGATTTTTTAAAAAATTGTCCACCATATTGGATCCGCCATTTTGAATTTTGAAAAACTGACCTCAAATTCGAATTCAGCGACCACAAAAACCTTAAATATGATGAAGTCATATTTTTTTGGAAACTTTTTTTTCGGACCGTTTTAGGCCCACCAGCGATTTTTAACTGGACTGCGAAGGGGTTAATATTATATGCATACGTGCTAATATGACTGCGATTATCAATAATACAATAAACAACTTTTTCAAAGTTTTTGGTGAAATTTTAAATAAAATTTTACTTTCAGAAAATGTTTTTATACTGCTTACAACATTGATAAATACTGGTTGTATTTTCCTTGTTTGATAATAATACGTGATCAGAAATACAACGCACATCTTTATGATTCGAAATCTGATTGAAACAAAGCTTTTCGAATAAGGAAAAGTGTTAATGGTTTATTAATTAATAATTTATTAATAATAATTAGTTAATAATAATTAATTAATAATAATTTATTAATTTATTAATAAAATAATTCAATTTTTTAAAGTGTAATAAATAATAAATCGAAATTAAATCACGGAATCCGCGAAATAAGGTCGCGATTTTCGTGAAACTTAGTCGTAGATTTCAGTAAATTAATAAACTATAAAATTAATTAAACTTCATCATATTTATTGAAAACACTTTATACACATAATTTGTATGAAAAATTCTCTTAAATGAGTTATATTAACAAACATTGATTATAAAAGAAAAAATAGTGTAAATTTTCTATTTTATATATATATTTTTTTTTCTCAAAATATACAATATTATAATATTGTGTAAATTTATTGGTGTTATAAAATTAAATTGCCATTCGATTTTAATTTTTAAAAATTACCAATTTTTCAAATTATTGATAAGGTAACCAGGGACAGGCACAATTTTTTATACAAGTTGAATTCGTTCGAGAAACTCTAATGTAACCCTTAACACAAACACAACCACCTCTACAGATCTGTGAACATAAGAAAATATAATAATAAATTATAATATAGCAATAAAATAATAAAATAAATAATAAAATTGTAAAATAATAATTATAAATTAACAAAAACAGTTACATATACTCGTGACAAAAAAATTATATTTTCAAGAAATAATTTCAATAATCCTTGTAAATATTTTTTTCATACACTAAAAAAAAGAAAAATATTATAATAAGAGGAAAATTTTTCCTTTTTTTATTATTATTGTAACTGTAAAGGTAAATTTTTTTAGTTTTATAAAAAAATTTTTTTAAAAAAATAAATTAATTTTACCGTAGGACAAACGGTTGGTTGATTTTCAATTAAGCCTTCACAAGTTCTAGGACAAACTGGAGCACAAAATCTCCAAATTGCATGTGGTCCACAAAATGGAACTGCTTCTGGTTGAGCATCTATGATATAGATAGGCAAATAATTTTTTAAAAGAAATTTAAATTAAAGAAAAATTTTTTTTTTCTTAGAACCCATTCTTTAAAATATAGTATTCTGTGAGCTATTTATAAATTTATTATAAAAGTATTCGTAAAATTATTACTTACACGTAGATGCAACTAGTGCAATGAATAAAGTAATAATAAAAATAGGTGACATGTTATGTAATTCTTACAAATTTCAAATATAACTGAGAACTGAAGAATTTGAATCCATTTTTAAGTAGAACTTGTTTGTTTTCTTTAAATATTTTTTAGGAAAACACGAATAAGCACTTCCATTAATATGCGTAAAAATATAAATAAGGAAACATTTATTATTATATTTTTAACCAGATAAAACATATAACAAAGTTAACAAAAAAAGAGACGAACCTTCATAAAACACTTTTTTTTTAAATTTGATGATACAATAATTTTTTTTGCCTTTTTTTATATTACCTAAATCCATCTCTTGCTATTTATTTACATTCTAATCAGTTGCAGGTAAAATCAAAATAATTTTATCAATAACTTAAATATATTTAAATTTATTAATTTATTTTTTATAAGTAATATTTACAATCGTTATTAATTAGCAATCTTGCTTTGAGACACATTTATAAGTTTTATCATGTCTTATAAATCCTGATTTACATTGACATCCAATGTAACAACTCTGCAAATAAATAAATAATAATAATTTTAATAAAATTGAAAAATAATTTTAAAAACTTTTTTTAAAAATTTGTTTGAATTCAAAGAATAGAAATTAAATTAAAAAATAGAAATAATAAAAAATTTAAAATTAAAATAATTGAAGCTTTAAAAAAATAATTAAAGATTTTCGTGAATAAAATTAATTAAAATTTCGCATTATTTAAAATTAAATTAATTAATACTTACCGCAATGCATGCAACATTTGCTCTGTTATCGTTACATATTTCAGGGCACTGTGTTCCACAAGTTGTAAATTCTTCATTGGGACCATTACATTCAAGACCTGTTGGTTCATGACCCAATTCTGAATTAAAAAAAAAAAAGATTTAATTTTTCGCATTACAATTAATTAATTAATAATTAACTGTTGCACTTCATCTAACAATAGATTCAAAAATATTATTAAACAAATAAATTTACCTTAAAGATATAATATATTTCAATTTTAATTAAATAATTAATGTAAATATTAATTAAAATCAAAATTAAACATTTTATATAAAACTGAATTAAAAAAATTAGGTATATAAATAAATAAAATAAATAAATATAGTTTGAAAGGGAATTTAAAAAAATGTATATAAAAACAATTTTCTAAATATTAAGTAATTAAATTAGTATTTTATCAAAATAAATCGATAAAAAAAAAAATACTTACGAGCTGTTGTAATTGTTAAGGCTAATAGAAGAACAAAAACGCGAAACATATTGACGATGGAATTATCGCTTCTGATATTTTTCTAATGCAAAACATTATTTTATACCAGTATGAGCAACAATTAGTTACATAAGTAACATTAATTATCATATAACACTATTTTTACAATGCGCTTAGCTGTTTATTTATCATCAGCGATATATAATTGAGAGAATATCATGATTCTTCCTTTCTATTAATAAACAATGATCACCAACACAAGATAATATATTTGTGGAAACAAATATTATAGTGTTGAATAAAATTCTGAATTTCATTTTTAAAACTATTATCATCTTATTTTTATTATAAATTTTTGTTCGAAATTTTTAGACAAATATTTATTTTCTATTATCATACATTATAATATAATTATTTACAAATAAATAATTTACTAAAACGATTAAAAATTTTCAATTTTAATAATTAATAATGTTTAAAAAATATTATATTTTTATTCAATAGGTACAATTGCAAAATTTAATAACATCAAAATTCATTGCTCATTTTTTGGAGGAAGTTTCGAGTTGGCAAAAAAAATTAAGTATCGCCGATCAAGTAACGACAGTTTGGTTTGAAGTACAACGAACATGGATGCATTTGGAAAGTATTTTCATGTCATCGGAGGACATAAGAAATCAATTACCAGTTGATGCTGAACGTTTTGTGCGTATTGATAAAGAATTTAAAGCAATGACCGAAGATATGTCAAAAACGCCAAATGTCGTACAAGCAACAAATCGCGATGGTTTAGCTGGATCACTTGAAATTTTACAACATGAATTAGTTTTATGTGAAAAAGCACTTGCCGAATATCTTGAAACAAAACGTCTTGCATTTCCAAGATTTTATTTTGTCTCATCAACTGATTTACTTGATATACTATCAAATGCAACACAACCGGCAGTTGTCGCAAAACATTTGACAAAATTATTTGATTCAATGGCAAGATTAAATTTTGCCGAAACTAAAGAGGGCGAACCTAAACGAATTATAGGTATAAAAATAAAATTATTATTATTATCTCTCTATATTATAAAAAGATTTCGCCGCCGTTTCAGTACCCCTTTGACCATGACCTTTGACCTTGACCTTTGACCTATGACCTTTGACCTCTTTTGCCCTCAAAATTTAGGTCAAATTTAAGAGCAGTTTTGACCCTAAATTTTGAGGTTATGTTCGTTTCTAGACTCTGTATATAGCGGCAAGTCCCCTCCCCTTCCCCGCCAGAAATGACATAAATTTTGAGGTTATATTCGTTTCAAGGCTCTGAATATAGCCGCAAGTCCCCCCTCCATCCTCTCATTTCCCCTCCTCCGCCAAAAATGACCTAAATTTTGAGGTTATGTTTGTTTTAAGACTTTGAATAAAGCAGTAAGTCCTTCCCACATCTCTCTCCGTATTTCCCGCCAAAAATGACTTGAATTTAAAGGTTATGTTCGTTTCAAGACTTTTTAATAATTTATTGGTTTTTAGGCAATTTCATTGAAATTATTTTTAAAAATAATTTCTTAATGTCAATTTTAACTTATTTAATTATTTATTTATTATTAATTTAATTTATTTATTAATATAAAATTTAATAATTTTAATTTTAATAATATTTATTCAGATTTCAATAAATTTGTAATAATAATTCTTTGAAATAGGTGGTTCATTTGGAAAATTTTATTTGAATTTGTAAGGAATTTTTTCATTTTCCAGGAAAACATTCTATTCAAAAAAATGGAATAAAATTGATTATTCTTAGTCTATTGCAATTTAATTTCAATTGGTATGTTTTTTTTGAAGGTAATACGTGTTGTTTGAAGGTAAAAAAATAATAGAGACATGCTGATTAATTTTATTTGAATTTGTAAGGAATTTTTTCATTTTCCAGGAAAACATTCTATTCAAAAAAATGGAATAAAATTGATTATTCTTAGTCTATTGCAATTTAATTTCAATTGGTATGTTTTTTTTTGAAGGTAATACGTGTTGTTTGAAGGTAAAAAAATAATAGAGACATGCTGATTAATTTTATTTGAATTTGTAAGGAATTTCTTTATTTTCCTGGAGAATATTCTATCTAGAATATCATTTTTAACAAAGTTGTATAATTGTGTTTTCAAATTTCAGAATTGGTTTCTTTAAATTTTTTTTATAATAAACAAGGCAACACTCAATTTTGCGCGTTTAATTTTGCTAGTTATAAATAAAATCTAATTATCAAATTTTAATTTTCAAATTATAAGAAAAATTTAATGTTAATTAATATTTAATTAAAGGTATGCACGCAAAGGATGGTGAATATGTGGAATTTACAAATTACGAAATGATATGCGATGGTGCAGTGGAAGTTTGGTTGAATCGTCTTCAAATGGCAATGAGAGTGTCAATTCGTCATTATTTCAGTGAATCAGTGGTATTGTATGAGGAGAAACCACGTGAGCAATGGCTATTTGATTATCCAGCGCAAGTATCATTGTGTGGCACACAAATATGGTGGACCACTGAGGTGACATTGGCTTTTGGTAGATTGGAGGAGGGTTATGATAATTCAATAAAGGATTATCTCAAAAAACAAATATCACAATTAAGTACATTAATTTCACTTTTACTTGGTGAATTAAGTAAACAGGATCGTCAAAAAGTGATGACAATTTGTACAATTGATGTTCATTCGCGAGATGTTGTTGCTAAATTGGTACAAGCTAAAGTTGAAACTGCACAGGCATTTCAATGGCAGAGTCAATTGCGACATCGATGGGATGAAAAGGAAAAGGATTGCTTTGCCAATATTTGCGATGCACAATTTAAATATTCACATGAATATCTTGGAAATACTCCTAGGTTCGTGTTGCATCTTCATTAAATGATTTTGTGGTTGTTATATTAATTTTATTTACAAATTGTTTCCATAGTAACTGTTACTATGGTTGGCATTATCAAAGTAACCATTTTAGTGGTAACAGTTGCTATATTAGTAACCGTTGCCATAGTTACAGTTGCTAGAGGAACTAAAGTGGACGTACGGACGGACAGACAGACAGACGCTAAAGTCTAACTATAATTATTTCGGCCCTAGGGACACGAAACCCTAAAAATAAAATCCATTTTTTACATTAACTAAATAATAAAATGCCTAATTAATTTTTTGCAGACTAGTAATAACGCCTCTAACAGACAGATGCTACATAACTCTAACGCAATCACTTCATCTTGTAATGGGTGGTGGTCCAGCTGGGCCGGCAGGAACGGGAAAAACGGAAACAACGAAAGATTTAGGAAGAGCATTGGGTATAATGGTGTATGTGTTCAATTGTTCGGAGCAAATGGATTATAAATCATGTGGTAATATTTATAAAGGACTTGCGCAAACGGGAGCTTGGGGTTGTTTTGATGAATTCAATAGAATTTCTGTTGAGGTACTATCAGTTGTTGCAGTGCAAGTGAAATCGGTACAAGACGCAATAAGAGATAAGAAAAATAAATTTAATTTTATGGGTGAAATTATTGCACTTGTACCAACAGTTGGTATATTTATAACAATGAATCCAGGTTATGCGGGACGTACTGAATTGCCAGAGAATTTAAAGGCACTATTTCGACCATGCGCAATGGTTGTACCTGATTTTGAATTGATTTGTGAAATTATGTTGGTCGCTGAAGGTTTTCAAGAGGCGAAAATTTTAGCAAGAAAATTTATTACACTTTATACATTATGTAAGGAATTATTGTCGAAACAAGATCATTATGATTGGGGTTTGAGGGCTATTAAATCGGTGTTGGTTGTTGCTGGTAGTTTAAAACGAGGTGATCCTGGAAGACCAGAGGAAGAGGTTTTAATGAGAGCGTTAAGGGATTTTAATATTCCAAAAGTTGTTTCTGATGATCTTCCAGTTTTTATGGGTTTAATAGCGGATCTATTTCCCGCACTCGATGTTCCTAGAAAGAGGGATATTGATTTTGAGAAAACAGTGAAGCAGGCAGCTGCCGATTTACTTCTTCAGCCGGAAGATGGTTTTATTTTGAAAGTCGTTCAATTGGAGGAGTTACTTGAAGTTAGACACTCGGTTTTTATTGTCGGTTTAGCTGGATGTGGTAAGGAATTATTTTTCAACGTGTTTGTGGTTCTAATTTAATTTTTGATAATTTCAGGTAAAACAAAAGTGTGGAATACTCTGTTTAGAACGTATCAGAATATTAAGAGGAAACCAATTTACAATGATTTGAATCCAAAAGCAGTGACAAATGATGAATTATTTGGAATTATTAATCCAGCAACTCGTGAATGGAAGGATGGCCTATTCTCAGTGATAATGAGAGAGCAGGCTAATCTTGGAGGTGAGAATCCGAAATGGATTGTCCTAGACGGTGATATTGATCCAATGTGGATTGAATCGTTGAATACGGTTATGGATGACAATAAAGTATTGACTCTGGCGAGTAATGAAAGAATAGCTTTGACCCCGGCTATGAGACTTTTATTTGAAATATCGAATCTACGAACAGCGACTCCAGCTACTGTTTCAAGAGCCGGAATTCTCTATATCAATGCTCAGGATTTGGGTTGGAATCCCTATGTGACGAGTTGGATTGAAAAGAGAACATTGTCAAGTGAAAAATCAAGTTTGGTGATGCTGTTCGATAAATATATTCCCCAATGTTTGGAAACATTGAGAACGAGATTTAAAAAAATTACACCCATCGCTGATATGGCACACGTAGAAATGCTCTGTCATTTATTGAATTGCCTTCTAGTTCCCGAATTAACAGCAAATGATTTTTCCAAAGATGATTATGAATTATATTTTGTATTCGCGGCAGTTTGGGCATTTGGATCATCAATGTTTCAAGATCAGGCTGTTGATTATCGAGTTGAATTTACCAAATGGTGGGTTAATGAATTTAAACAAGTGAAATTTCCCGCTCAGGGAACAGTTTTTGATTATTACATTGATTCGGAGACGAAAACTTTTGCACCATGGTCACAACGATTGCCACGATTTGAACTTGATCCTGATATTCCATTACAGGCGGTTCTTGTCTATACGTCAGAATCAATAAGGATACGATATTTTTTAGATTTATTGATGAATGAAAAACATCCTGTAATGTTGGTTGGTACAGCTGGTTGTGGTAAGACTGTATTGGTTTCAGAGAAATTGTTACAACTCTCGGAGAATTATGCTGTGACTAATGTGCCATTTAATTTTTATACAACATCAGAAATGTTGCAAAAAATATTGGAGAAACCATTAGAGAAGAAAGCTGGTAGAAATTATGGACCACCGGGTAATAAGACTTTGGTGTATTTTATTGATGATATGAATATGCCGGAAGTTGATACATATGGAACGGTGCAACCACATACTTTAATAAGACAACATTTGGATTATGAACATTGGTACGATAGAACAAAATTAACATTGAAGGATATTCATAATTGTCAATATGTGAGTTGTATGAATCCTACGGCTGGATCATTTACCATTAATCCAAGATTACAGAGGCACTTTGCTGTGTTTGCTGTTAGTTTTCCTAATGCTGAATCATTGACCACTATTTATGCCTCAATATTGTCTCAACATTTAGCAAATATCGAGCATAGGTAAATTATTTTTTTTTAAAACATTTTATATAATAATATTTGTGTAAAAACACTAAAAAAAGTAATTTTTAATTCAAAAACTTTTTTTTTGGTCAGATTTCCTGTGAATGTTACTAGTTTATGTAAAAATATTGTCCAAGCTTCTCTTCAATTGCATAATCGTTCTGCACAAGTGTTTCTACCAACAGCCGTTAAATTTCATTATATTTTTAATTTACGCGATTTATCCAATTGCTTCCAAGGATTGTTATTTAGTACGAATGAATGCCTACAAATCCCTTCGGATTTTCTTCGATTGTGGCTTCACGAGACACAGCGTGTCTATGGTGACAAGTTGGTTGATGAGAAGGACATTGAAAATTTTTATAAATTTCAACTTGATATATTGAAGAAAAATTTTGAGGAAATTGACGAAGGGACAGTTTTGGAAAAGCCAAATATTTACTGTCACTTTGCAGGTAAATTTTTTGTTTGGAAACAGTAGTAAAAGACCGCATTAGTCAGACATTTAAAATTCTAATACATTTAGTGAAAACAATTTAATTTCTCACTCTTTCTTTGTAAAAAAATTTTTAAGGTGGAGTTGGTGAACCAAAATACATGCCGGTCTTGGATTGGCCAGTTCTTCATCGTTTGCTTACTGAAGCTCTAGTCAGCTACAATGATCTAGTATCGGCAATGAATCTTGTTTTATTTGAAGACGCTATGATGCACGTGTGTCGAATAAATCGAATTCTAGAATCACCAAGAGGAAGTGCATTACTTGTAGGTGTCGGAGGTTCAGGAAAACAAAGTCTATCTCGTTTAGCAGCATTTATAAGTTCTCTGGAAGTATTTCAAATACAATTAAGAAAAGGTTATGGAGTTGCTGATTTTAAATTGGAATTAGCTTCGCTCTATACAAAATCAGGATTAAAAAATTTAGGAATTATGTTCCTTATGACTGATGCCCAAGTGCCTAATGAACAATTTTTGGTCCTCATCAATGATATGCTCGCTTCCGGAGAAGTTCCTGATCTCTTTCCAGAAGATGAAGTGGAGAACATAATAGCTGGTGCTTGATTATTATTTTTTTCAATAATATATTTTCTATTATTAAATTATAATGAGATTTTTTAATAAATTACAGGTGTACGAAATGAGGTAAAAGGAGCTGGAATTCTTGACAGTAGGGAAAATTGTTGGAAATTTTTTATTGATCGGGTTCGTCGTCAATTGAGAGTTGTATTATGTTTCTCACCCGTTGGATCAACATTGAGGGTTAGATCACGTAAATTTCCAGCAATTATCAATTGTACGGCAATCAATTGGTTTCATGAATGGCCTCAAGAAGCTCTTATGTCTGTTTCAAAGAGATTTTTGCAGGAACTCAGTGAACTTCCGGAAGGATACAGGTTATTATTATTTTAGGAAAACATAAATTTTTTTACAATAATTAATTAAAATTAATTTGAAAATCAGAGAATCGGCAGCAAAATTCATGGCTCATGCTCATACGACTGTCAATACGGCAAGTCGACAATATTTGGCCAGCGAAAGAAGATACAATTACACAACGCCAAAATCGTTTTTGGAGCAAATTAGTTTATATACAAAGCTGTTGAAAGCAAAGGCAAAACAACTTCGCGGTCGTATTGAAAGATTAGAAAATGGATTGGCAAAATTAAGATCAACTGCAGTTCAAGTTGATGAATTGAAACAAAAATTGGCTATTCAAGAAGTTGAATTACAACAAAAGAATGAGGCAGCCGATGCTCTCATTGCAATTGTCGGAGTTGAAACTGAAAAAGTGCAAAAAGAAAAAGCCCTAGGTGATATTTTTAATAATGAATAAAAAATTTTAGAACAAGGAAAATGTATAATCAAATAAATATGATTTTAGCTGACGAGGAAGAGACGAAAGTTGCAATAATTGCAGAAGAAGTATCAAAGAAGCAAAAAGACTGCGAAGCTGATTTAGTGAAAGCTGAACCAGCTTTATTAGCTGCCCAAGAAGCATTGAATACTCTTAATAAAGCTAATCTCACGGAATTGAAATCTTTTGGTTCACCACCGGGAGCTGTTACAAATGTTACAGCTGCTGTTATGGTTCTTCTAGCGCCAAATGGAAAAGTAGCAAAAGACCGTAGCTGGAAAGCAGCCAAGGTCAACAAAATTTATTTTAACTATTTTTTTTTAAAAAGATTTATAAAAATTTAAATTATTTAAAATTTAAATTAATCATCATTTCTTTTGTCAGATCATGATGGCTAAAGTCGATACATTCCTCGATTCATTGATTAATTATGACAAGGAAAATATTCATCCTGAAGTGATTAAGGCTATACAACCTTATTTAAAAGACTCGGAATTTGAACCCGAATTTGTTAGATCAAAATCAGCTGCTGCAGCTGGATTATGCGCGTGGGTGATAAATATCATTAAATTCTATGAAGTATTTTGTGATGTTGAACCAAAACGAAAAGCACTTGCACAAGCAAATGCTGAATTGGCTGCAGCACAGGATAAATTAAGTGGCATAAAACGTAAAGTTGCTGTAAGTAAATTACATAAAAAAAAGTTAAATTACTTTTTAGTTATTTACTTAACGATTTCTATTAGTCACTAGAGGAGCAATTGGCAAAATTGACAGCCGATTTTGAACAAGCAACAGCTGAAAAATTAAAGTGTCAAAAAGAAGCCGACGCCACGAATGCAACAATTGCACTTGCAAATCGTCTTGTGGGTGGTTTGGCTTCAGAAAATGTTCGTTGGGCAGATTCTGTAGCAAGGTAATCGAATCGGTTTTTCTTATCGACTGAAGATAAAATAAATTCCTATATTGTTAGCAGTTGGTAATAGTTTTTTCCCTTTTTACCGACTGAAGATAAGAAAAATTCCTATATTGTCAGCAGTCGGCAATTTTGTTTTTTTTTTATTTTAATAATTTATAATTTAATTATAAGAAAAAAAAAGATGATTTAATGATTCAGTTTCATGCAACAAGGAGCAACGTTACCAGGGGACGTTCTATTGATCACGGCTTTCATTTCCTATGTAGGATGTTTTACGAAACAATTTCGATTAGATCTTTTAAATAAACAGTGGTTGCCGTTTCTACGAAATATTGAACCAGCTGTTCCAATTACGGACGGTCTTGATCCATTATCTCTTTTAACTGACGACACACAAATAGCAAAGTGGAACAACGAAGGTCTTCCAAATGACCGAATGTCAACTGAAAATGCTACTATTTTATCAAACTCGGATCGTTGGCCCCTGATGATAGATCCCCAGGTGTGATAATTCACACAATTTGGATTTTTATCTATTTTTGATTAATTTTGTAAACACAATTTTAATTAGTAATTATTAATTTTATAAGAAGAAATATTATTTCTTTTATTTCAGCTTCAGGGAATAAAATGGATTAAACAAAAATACGGTGAGGAATTAAAAGTGATTCGATTGGGTCAACGGGGATATCTTGAAATAATTGAATTGTCTTTGGCAAAAGGATCCACTGTACTTGTGGAAAATATTGGCGAATCAGTTGATCCTGTTTTAGATCCTTTATTAGGTAGAAATTTAATTAAAAAAGGACGTGCTATTAAAATTGGCGACAAAGAAGTGGAATATAATTCGAATTTTCGTTTATTGCTTCATACAAAATTGGCGAATCCTCATTATAAACCGGAGATGCAGGCACAAACGACTTTAATTAATTTCACAGTGACCAGAGATGGTTTAGAGGATCAATTATTAGCCGAGGTTGTGAAAGCAGAACGTCCTGATCTTGAGGAATTAAAAGCGGATTTAACGAGACAGCAGAATGATTTTAAAATTACTCTCAACAGTCTGGAGGATTCACTTTTGTCGAGGTAAAGAAAGAGAGGAATATTTTTCGAAAAAGTTTTGAATTTTTTTTTTTGTAGACTTTCGTCAGCGGACAGTAATGTTCTTGGGGACACGGCATTGGTGGAAAATTTAGAAACAACAAAACGAACGGCAGCGGAAGTGGAAAAAAAAGTGACGGAAGCTCGAGGAACTACTCGTGAAATTGATGCTGCACGAGAATTATATAGACCGGCAGCAGCGAGAGCATCACTTTTATATTTCATTCTCAATGATTTGAATATGATAAATCCGATTTATCAATTTTCATTGAAAGCCTTTAGTGTCGTATTTCAGAAGGCAATTTTAAAAGCTGATCCAGCGCCCGATGTTGAGAGTCGTGTCGCAAATTTAATAGAATGCATTACCTATTCCGTATTTATGTATACAACGAGAGGACTTTTTGAATGTGATAAATTAATTTTTACATCGCAAATGACATTTCAGGTTTTATTGGCAAGAAAAGAAATTTCTGCAACTGATCTTGATTTTTTGTTACGATTTCCTATTACACCGCATGTGACATCGCCTGTTGATTTTTTGACCAATACCAGTTGGGGTGGAATACGAAGTTTATCCAGTAAAGACGAGTTTCGGTAATTAATTTTCGTTTTTTGTTAGGAAAAATCAAAGTCATGTGAATTATTTTTCTTTTTTGAATTTTTTTTTTAGAAATTTGGATAGAGATATAGAAACATCATCAAAACGTTGGAAGAAATTTATTGAATGCGAGTGTCCTGAAAGGGAAAAATTCCCTCAAGAATGGAAAAATAAAACGGCACTTCAACGATTATGTATGTTGAGAGCATTGCGACCCGATAGAATGACTTATGCGATTGCGACTTTTATTGAAGAAAAATTAGGTCCACGTTACGTTGAGGGAAGAACTGTCGAATTTTCCAAATCTTTCGAGGAAACAAGTCCTTCGACTCCTATTTTCTTTATTCTCTCACCTGGAGTTAATCCACTAAAGGCAAAATAATTTTTTTTTCTTTTTTTTTTATTCTATTACAATAAATTAATTTTTCATGATTATTTCATTAATAGGATGTTGAAGATTTAGGAAGACGATTGGGATTCACATCGGATAATCAAAATTTTCACAATGTTTCCCTGGGTCAGGGTCAAGAGAGTGTCGCTGAATCAGCAATGGATGAAGCATCACAAAAAGGACATTGGGTTGTTTTGCAAAATATACATTTGGTGAAAAAATGGCTACCACTATTGGAGAAAAAATTAGAAGTTGCTTGTGAAGGTTCAAATTTAAATTATCGTGTATTTATGAGCGCTGAACCTGCGAGTTCACCTTCAAGTCACATTATTCCACAGGTTTATTTTTCAATTAATTAAATTACAAAATTTCATTGTAATCAAATAATAATAATTAATTAAAATTAATTTTATGTAAGGGAATTTTGGAATCGTCGATAAAAATAACAAATGAGCCACCAACAGGAATGCAGGCTAATTTACATAAAGCTTTGGATAATTTTACACAAGAAACATTGGAAATTTGTAGTAAGGAAGCGGAATTTAAATCGATTTTATTTTCATTGTGTTATTTTCATGCGGTTGTTGCCGAGAGGAGGAAATTTGGTCCTCAAGGATGGAATAAAATTTATCCATTCAATGTTGGTGATTTGAATATCAGTGTTAGTGTTTTGTATAATTATTTAGAAGCTTCTCCAAAAGTACCTTGGGAGGATTTAAGATATCTTTTTGGTGAAATAATGTATGGTGGACACATAACCGATGATTGGGATCGGCGATTGTGTGTTTCATATTTGGAAGAATTAATGCAACCCGATCTTGTCGATGGAGAACTTCATTTGGCTCCAGGTTTATTTTTTATTTACAATTATTTAAAATTATTGTTTTTTGCAACAAAAAAGAAAAATTCTCATTTTGTCAGGTTTTCCTGCACCACCTAATACAGATTTAGTTGGTTATCATACGTATATCGACGAGGCAATGCCACCAGAATCTCCATATTTATATGGTCTTCATCCAAACGCTGAAATTGGTTTCTTAACAACAACTTCGGAGAATTTATTTAAAACCGTTTTTGAAATGCAACCACGTGACGCTGGTAGTTCTGGTGGTCAAACTGTTACGCGAGAGGAAAAGGTTTTAATTAAAAGCATTTTTAAAATATGAAAAAAATTCTAATTACTTTACTTTTTTTTTTAATGAAAGCAAAACAATTTATCGAATAATCGGAAAAATTAATTTATTCAGGTAAAGCAAATATTGGACGAGATAATGGAAAAGTTACCCGAGGAATTCAATATGACGGAAATTATGGGCAAGGTAGAGGAGCGAACACCCTATGTAATTGTTGCATTTCAAGAATGTGAAAGAATGAATTATCTCACGGGTGAAATTAAAAGATCACTACGTGAATTGGATTTGGGTTTAAAGGGAGAATTGACAATTACATCGGATATGGAGGATCTTGAGAATTCCTTGTTTCTCGATCAAGTGCCCACAGTATGGACCCAAAGGGCTTATCCTTCACTTCTTGGACTCACTCCATGGTTCGTTGATTTACTCCTCAGACTTCGTGAATTGGAAACATGGTCCACTGATTTTGTCGTAAGCAATCTCACAAAATCTAATGATGAAGCATTTGCAAAATAGACTCAACAAAATATAATTTCAATTTTGTTTAAAAAAAAAAATAATAATAATTCAATATTTAAAAAAAAAAACTGTTAAATTTCAGTTGCCATCGTCAGTGTGGTTGGCAGGATTTTTCAACCCTCAATCGTTATTAACAGCAATCATGCAGTCGACAGCCAGAAGGCATGAACTTCCCCTCGATAAAATGTGTTTGCAGTGTGACGTTACAAAAAAGAATAAAGAAGAATTCACGTGAGTTTTATAATAATAAAAATAAATTGGGTTTTTTTCCCCCCCGCAAATTTTTTTTTTTTTTTATAAATTTTTAAAGGTCAGCACCACGAGAAGGTGCTTATGTTCATGGAATCTTTATGGAAGGTGCACGATGGGATGTTCAAGCGGGAATTATTGTTGATTCACGACAAAAAGAATTGTTTCCAACTATGCCAGTGATAAATATACGTGCCATTACTCAAGATAAACAAGATTTAAGGAACATGTACGAGTGCCCTGTTTACAAAACGAGAACTCGAGGTCCAACCTACGTTTGGACATTTAATTTAAAGACAAAAGATAAACCGGCAAAATGGACTTTAGCTGGAGTTGCATTATTGTTACAAACATAATTATATGTTATAATATGGGATATTATTTCGGTAAAGTATATTACTTTTTCCCTATTATTATTTTCTATTAAATATTAAATTTTTTTAAAAAATCGTGATTTAAAGCAATTTTTTTTTATCATTCTTATAATAAAAATAATTGCTGCTTTCAAAGTAAGTATTTATGATTTAAAAAATAACTTCTTAATTTTTTATTAAATTATTTCAGAAAAAAAGAAAATTATTTAAAACAGTGGAAAAATTTTTACTAGAATAGTGAAAGTCAGTTTTAAGGGAAATTATAAAACTTTTTGCTATTCTAGTTAAATTTTCCACTGCTTCAAATAAATTTATTTTTCTACATGGAAAAGATATTCCTTTAGAATATTTTTTCCCCCCTATTTTGTATTTTTCTTTAAAATAATTTTTTTTTTAAATTGTAATGTTTTGTGTAAAAAATATCATAGATTTCAATTGAAACCACTCGAACTCGTATCGAGATTGACGAGTAATCGGATCTCTCGTTCTCTCTCTCTCTCTACACTTTTGAAAAGATCCTATTTGAAAATTTTATCATTATTCAGAGTACCTTTTCAATTTTTGCACCCTCGCTTTTTCTGCCGAGTCGACGGCATAATAAATAATTTACTATCGCTTTCTCTCTCAAAGTGAAATTGAAACGCAATTCAAAATCGATAAAAAGGGAAAAAAAAATTTTTTTTACCTAAATAAAAATTGCGAAAAAGAAAAAAAAACTAAACGACAATGTAATTTACAATCCTTCTCTCACGAAATGTTGAAAAGCAACACAGACGACAAGAGTCATGAGATTTATATATGCGAGGACTTTTGCTTTTCACGAAATTATAAGGTATTAAAATAAGCTGCAACGCTTATTATTTTAATCCAATTTTGCTTATTTTAATACCAAAATGGATTAAAATAAGCAAAATTGAATTAAAATAATAAGCGTTGCAGCTTATTTTAATGCCTTTTAATTTTCTGTGAATTTGTCACAGTTAAACGCCAGTGAAATATTTTTTTAGGTGTAATTTAAAAAAATTAATTTAGTGTAATTAAGTAAAATTTAATTTGCGACAAATAAAATTTATTTAAAAATAAAATTTAACAATATTTATTTCCAAATTTACTTAGCTCTGAGGTCTAATATAAAATTTTCTCTGAATGTAAAATGAAAAATAATTCAAATTAAAATAAGCTGCAACGCTTATTATTTTAATCAAATTTTGCTTATTTTAATACCAAAATGGATTAAAATAAGCAAAATTGAATTAAAATAATAAGCGTTGCAGCTTATTTTAATGTCTTTTAATTTTCTGTGTTATTAGATGAAAATATTTTTGTGCTTAATTTTTTATTATTACAAAAAGTGTATTTTTTTTTTAATTTTGGTAAATACCATTGCAATCGGGATATCGTGAAAGAATTTTGCATATATATATATGTCGGCGCGAATTCACTGAATTGAAAACTTGATCGACTGAATTATAAATTGTGCTTGGAGGATTGATGGTATGAAAAGTTGAGATTTCGAGTTATTCAACTTTCCGTGAGGACGGGGACGCGTCGTCGTTTCAACGTCCCACGTGGTGACACGTCGTACTGACAAGTAATTTGTCATTGTATATATAACGATCTATTAGTATATTTGCCGACCAGACGCATTTATTCACGCAACACTGTATTTTCTTTTTTTTTTTTTTAAAGAACAAAATCAAAATTTTTGAAAAAACGATTTAAAATATTTTGAACAAAATATTTTGAAATTCAATTTCAATTTTGCTTTTAAGTATATAAACTGAAAAAAAATTTATTTAATTCAAATAATCGATTACTAGACATTTAAACATTTATTTGTAATAAATAATTATTATTTGTGTCAATTAAATGACATTTAGAAATTATTGATTCGCATACAGTTTATTTGATTTAAATGAAAATTATTTGTTTCAAGTAAATATTTATTTGATAATAAATATAATAATAAAAGTAAAAATTCATTAGGAAAATTAAAAACAAAATTTTCAAACTTCATTTTTTTTTTTTTTTTTTTTGCCTCGAGGGAAATAACGAAAAACCTCCAATTTATCATCATTTAGATAAATCGCGAAAAAAATGGTTTCTTTTCTTACTTTATCAATCAAAATTATATCAATTGATAATAAATACGTATATAAAAGTGTGCGTCTAAAATATTGTTTAACAATTAAAATTAGTTTATTCACTGGAAAAAAAAAATTTTGTTTGATTCAAATATACTCGATAACTTGACTATTATCAAATAAATGTTTACTTGAAAATACCATCTCAAATAATAATTATTTGAAATATTTATTTGATAATAGTCAAGTAATCAAGTATTTTGAATCAAATAAAAATTTTTTTTTTCCGTGTTTGTAATTTAAGAAAGTGGGTTCCTTTGTTCCTTTAATCTTCAATGAAAGTGAAAAAAAAAATCCATTTTTCAACGCCAGTGGCTCGTTTGGTTAACCATTTTTAAAGGACCAAGCAGGTGGCAGACCATCATCCATTTGAGATTATATTAAGCAAAAGACATGAGAGAAACAGAAATTCTATATATATGCGATGTAAGAGAGAAAGAGAGAGAGAGAGAGAGAATTAAATTTTGGAGGGTTGCAAAGTGTTGCCTTAGTGGAGAAAATAATGAAATGCTATGTAAAGGGCGGCACAATTTGCTTTACATACAAGTGACATTTTTCACTCGTTTCTGACGTTTCTACTTCAGAGAGAAAGAGATGAAAGGAACCGTGCGTTTATACGAAGGGAACAATAAGGTTAAGTAATTATAAATTACTTTAGCGTAACGAAAGCTTTATTCAATATTTGCTCGACAAATCAATTTGTCAAGAGGAAAACATATTGATCTGTATATCACTTATCATTCGGTAATCACTTCATTCATATAGAAAGCTTAGCAAGTAGCTTAATAAAAGGGGCGCACATCACATATAGTATACAAAATATGCAAATTCGAAACAATAATTATTATTAATGATCATATCCCAACCAAAAATTTCAGTATTATACCAGAGTTGACTACTGGCGCAGTACTGGTTCAATATTGGCTGCCGAGGCTGGACAGTCTGTACTGAACCAGTACTGGTATTTTCATTGTATCAGTACTGGTGCAGTACCACTCTCCCAGTACTGGCAAACCAGTACTGAGCCGATATTAAGCCAGTACTGGCTCAAATAGATTTTCTTTTTGATTAATACTAGTTTATAAAAAGTTCTAAAGTGAACCTGATGAATCTTTTTGTTTAATTATTTTGTTCATCAAAATTTTTTCAACTTGATTTTATTTTTCAAAATTAAAATGTACTTTATTTTGCTTTTCTGTGGGTAAAATTATTTAAACAAAAAGTTTCCTGAGACCAAGTCTAAAACATTTTTCAAGATTTTCCTTTTTGTTTTCAGATATGTAATAAATCAAAAAAAATTTTAAACGATCAAACTAAAAATAAATAAATTTGTTTATAAAAAATTAATATTTTTTAAAATAAAATTTATAATATAAATTTAATTTAAAAAATTAAATACAATCGCAAGTAAAATTGCACAAATGTTATATTATCAAAAATATATAATTAACCTTTCTTAATAGAAATTATAAAAAATAGTTAAACCTACAAACTTATATATTTCAATGGTCAATAAAATTATTGTAATTTCTTTCTGGATGTTATTATTTAGTTTTTTTTCCAAAAGTGAATTATAAAGAAAAATTTAATGTTAATTTAAAAATAATTTAGATAATTTTTTTTAATAATTACCTAATTTCAGGAATTTAGTATTCATTATTTATATTAAATCATTATATATTTGTGATGAGTTAATTTGTAAACTAATTTTGTTTTATGTAAATTGAATTGAATTCAATGTTAATTTATTTAAATTTGATATAATAATTAATAAATTAAAGTGAATAATAAAATAATTAAATAGTTAATTGCATAATTATATACATTATAATTATTTTATAAACATTTTTATTTTTACTGAACTGTTTTTATATATTATAAAAACTTTGGTTTTATAATAAAGATATTTTTATATTTATTTTTTGATTTTTTAAAATAATAATTTGCAATATATATTATAAGAAGGAATGAAAAATTTTTGTGTTTTCGATTTTATATAATAAAACATTAATTAGTTAGTTGACTAATTTAATTAATATTTAATTTGTCTTGGGTTACTAAAAATTTCAGACACTTTTTCCTAAGTATACCAAAAAAAGTTTTACCTGGAGTTAAACTTATCTCTGTTACAGTTAATGCTTTCTTTTCGTATACAATAAATTACAAAACTGCCAGTACTCAGCCAGTACTGAACCAGTAGTGGTTACCAGTACTGGTGCCCACTCTGGCAGCCAATACTGGTAAAATGTTATCATCCCAAAGTTACGCCACTACTGGCTGCCAGTACTGCGCCAGTATTGCGCCATTAGTAAATTTTTGATTGGGATGATACCTAATTCATATTATATTTACTCATTAAAGTCAGAATATTTTATGCTGAAACAAACCTTAATATTTTTAGATAATATTTTTTTGAACAAAAGTATTTTATATATAATTTAAGAAATTTTTTCTTGAGTTTTGTGTTCTAAATTCAATTTTATTATTAGTGGCATAATTTTAATCGATTTCGATCGTTTTCAAAAAAACGTGTCTCCCAATAAAAGGCTAATAACAGTGCGGAAAAAAGCAAAAAGAAAAAAAAAATTTGAAATTCTAGCAGTTTGGAAATTTAAATTCCTACTTTGTACAGCATTGTATAATCTGTCGATAAAATAGCAATATATTTTCAAACGGGAAGATTCTGTAAAATCGAGTCACGTTTTCCTTTAAATACGTATTTAAATCTCCATTTTCCGAAACAAAAGGTTTTGACCTTTCAAAAAAGAAAAGAAATTATTAGTTTCTGGTAAAGTAAATAAAAAAAAAAAAATTAGTAATTTAATTAACATTTGAATATTTAGAACTATTT